TGGCCTCGTTCGGCCCACCTCCCAGCCCCCCTCGCCCTGATCCTGCAAACGCGCAAGATCGCGCAAGCCATGTAAGGTTTCGGCATTCAGGGCGTGCCGAGGACATTATGGCTTTTGGAGGCGGTTTAGAGCTGCTAGGGTCAATGCGAGCTCAAAAAGCCATATGAGCAACGTGTGACCTAAATCACGAGCTGAAATACCTCCAATGCCAGGCTCAGGCGCACGACCAACACAATTTGGGTTGAGAACTTCGCAGGCTCAGACCTTTAGGTCCCTAAACTATGAGCAGTGCCCCTCCCTCTCGAGTCGTTCACGACCCCTTGCGCATGCAGCTTCGTGCAATGGAGGCGTGAAACTTCAAGCACGTGAGAAGCCATATCCCAAGACCCGAAAGCCCCTACGTGCTCCTCGCAGAACCATGAAGCACCTCCCAACACCTCCGAACACCTCCGAACACCTCCGTTAACACATCTGGCCGACCTCCAAAGATGGCTCATCACTCTGCCAACTGCGGTTTTTTGCAGATTTGAGCCAAGGGTAATAGGGGTTGCATGGCCTGGAGGCATATGGTTTTACATGCTACGTTCTCGTTTTGGAGCTGAGTGAGGTGCTTAGGCAACGAATCGCCCAACACAGACAAGACGAGACCGAAACATGCTTCGAAACGGCATAAGCAAGGAGACTGCATCAGGGCAAGCGTTGGGTGTCTTGATGTTGTTGGCTGCCTTAGAGAGCAGGCCTGCACCCTTGGGCAGTCTTGCTCGCCCATACCCTGACACCTGAAAGCTGAGTCCAGAGCCTTTTCGGTTTGGGGCCAAACTTTCGGGCCTTTTTTGCACTAGGGTTCTCGCCTACTCGACCCCAAACACCCCGCCCACGATGAAAAACACAACGCCGCATCAAGCCTGATGCTCCCCATCATTCATGTTCTCCGGAATACAGAAGAGGCAATAAACCAGCCATAACCAGCCGAACATGACCAACGTGACCAACGGGAGGGCCAATGAGGGCCTGTTGGCCTGCGGCCGCCTCTGGTTGTAGCGGCCTCAAGGTCTAGCTGCCATGTCGGCGTTGCTAGGCTTCCAAGTGGGTTTGAGGCGTCGAATGCCCCAATGCCCTGAGGCGCCTACCAGCTAAGGGCTCGTTCTAGAAACCCATCCGTCTCCACCGGACACCCTGAAGCCAGAGACTGAGCAAACCTGGGAGACCCAAGCGGGAAAGGCCATTGCCAGGCATCGGTGATGGTAGGGCACTTGACTCCTGGCTTGAGTGTCTGGACTTTCGGATCTGTGTTGTCACTGTTTCTGTGATAAAGTATGCTTCTCGGCTGCGGGTCATCTCATGGAGCTTGAGACAGTGAGAACCCCGAGGTTGATTGGCTTAATCGGGCTCGGATGCTAGGAAAGCTCGAAGGGCTGAACTTCTTTTGCGACGCTGGCCTTACATCACATGGCTGCAAGAGGACCAGCACGCTTTGCCTTGTCGTTACAACACTGTTGACATCCTCAGGAACTGTTCAATGACCACAAGCGCCACACAGTGACCACGTCGTTCCTTTTTGGTGCCGGATCCTGAAATCACTATGGAACATCAAGTCTGCAAATTCAAATTCAACCAGGCTTGTAAGATGTGGCAAGAGGCTAGGCACCGAAAACCTGGCTCATCGCTTGGGATGTGCACTTTGAAGATGGCAGGCTCCTTTGACGCTAAACCTGGTTCCTCTAAAACCTTTCACGCCCCACACGGAGCCTGAAGGTTCCACATAAGGCAACCATTCAATACCAGCAAAACCGAGCAAAACCTATACATGCAGCCAGCCTCCGAAGTAAAGCCTGGCTGAACAAATGGCTTTCTGTAGGTTCGAGGCTTACGGCGGCTGAATGACCGAGGGGTCGGGGTAGTGTATTCTGTTGTCCACTTGGGGCGAAAGTGTCCCAAACTATGGTTGCGGGCTGAAAGTTTGCATCGGGGATCCATGTTTTGGTGGGTCTGGACATGCTGGTCATTCCGCCCGAAAACAAGCCCAGAACTGGGGTGTTCTATGTCATGCTGACCCAGGAGGATTAGATAAGCGGCAAAGGATTAGTGCAGCTCCGCTTGGATTGATTCTGATAGTTGGCACATTAGTGTTTGGACTTTGGAAACCTCAAAACATGAACCCCCAATGCCGGTGTTGCGCAAGCTCTGCAGGCCTAAGCCCTACACCCAAAACTCCTAAACCCTGAGCCCTAATCAAACGCTAGGGGTTCAGATCTGCGGTTCCTTCGGGCTCTTCACGGGCAAGGCTAGGGTTTGCGATCCTCAACCAGGTAGTAGTGTCTCAATGTGTCTCAAAGTGTCCCACCCCCATGTGAACTCCGGTTGCAGGCGCCTTCCTCCAAGGTTTCAATAAGCCTGTGGTTGCAACCATCGCCGTCCTTCGGCTTTTTAGATCGTGTTATGTTTGAAGTTCAAACGTTAAGCTTACAGGTCGAGGCTCTTGAGTCGCAACCTCCAAGCCCAGATGGCGTTGTCCCTTTTTTTTTACTTGGAATGTCAGAGTACACGATTCCGAGATTCAATGTGCACCCCTGAACATGGAAGGCCTTTGAACATTTTGATCGCAGGGAACACCTGGAGAGCTGCTACAGTTTTCTTAAGGCGTTAGGATTAGGGGTGAAGGGCGCAACACCTCAGGTTTTGGGCGTGGGCATACTTCTTTCTTTGAGCTGGCTGTCAGCGCTCGTATTGGGATCGCATGCTTAGCAGGTCCTGAAGAGTGACAGCACCCTTCAAGAATTGGACACATGAAGGCCAGAAACATGTGTCGAACTCCTTTGATCCTGTGCCAGTACTCAGCTTCACCAAGGGCAGACAACGAGCCTGGCCGGCTGCCATGGCAGGATGACTCGATTCACTCGATCGAACTGTGGAGCTGTGGGCCATGGGTTGCGCTTTTTGGGTGTAGGGAGTGTAGGGTTCCAGCCTTTGAAGCCAAATCTGGGGCGCAAGGTTTTCAAAGGTGGGTTTCTGGAGGTTCCTACTTGTTGACAAGGACCACCTTTTTGGACAATGGGCTCTGAGCCATATGTCATGGCTGCCCGGTGAGGCAGAGGCCCCGAGTGACAACCTTCAAAACCAAATCCAAAACCACCAAACACCAAGACAACATGATCTTTGCATTGAGAGCAGCCGTGCATCAATGAACCAACTTACTTATACTTATACATATAAATAAATGGGTACACGCCTATCCCCCCCCCTACCTTTTCTGCAATTTCTGTCTTTTGCACTTTGTCTGCGCTCGATGTTTTTCATTATGTGTGCCAATGCACCAATAAAATAATGCACCAACGTACCACTGTCCAAACCATTTCGGCTCATGGTTGGGACAAGACCCCAACCGCACCAACGTACCAACGTCCCAATCATTTCGGCCCATGATTGGGACATAACCCCAACCGCACCAAGGCACCAACGTCCCAATCATTTCGGCCCATGATTGGGACATAGCATGAACCAATGAAGAACCGATGTTCCAATGTACCAATGTTCCAATGTACCAATGTACCAATGTACAATGTACCAATGTACAAATGTACAAATGTACCAATCATTTCAGCCCATGATTGGTACACAAGATGAACCAATGTACCAATGTACCAATGTACCAATGTACCAATCATTTCGGCCCATGATTGGTACATAGGATGTTTGTACCAATCATGGGCCGAAATCATTGGTACATTGGTACATTGGGTCATGGGTCGTCCTTTGTACCAACCATGGGCCGAAAACATTGGTACATTGGTACATTGGCTCATTGGTTCTTTGGTTCGTTGCTGCATTGGCACTGGCAGTAAACCCTAAACCCTCTGTGTATGTGTGTAGGGTGTATGTGTTGTATGAAAAGGTGGAACTTCTACCCACATAGTGTAGGTATATTATTGTATTACATGTAGGCCCCACGGAAACGAGAACAAAGTCCTAAACCCTATTCGTCCCCCTGCCCAGGTAGCACAAAGTCAACACCAACTTCATCGTTTTGTTTTTTTTGTTGGGAAGCGGTGTTGATAAACAGGGTCGGTGTTTATAGACAGGTGTTATATGTGTTTTTCTTATTATTGTATATTCAATACTCATTAGATCTTTTCTTTTGATCAACACCACATACGCCCCAGGTGGTCCCAGGGAATAGTGAAAAGATATTTGCTCACAGTATTCTCGCATCCCCGGGGCTTATAGTCAAAGATATTTCGCATCACCCTGTGCACCCGAATGCTTCCTAGTCTTATGGCTCGAGGCTTACCATCCTTCCTTCTCCATTATCTGTATTTGGTATCTATATACACACATGATGTGGGTACTAATTTTTCGTTTGCATTTCCACAGGAGGCAAGCCCTACGCTGTACAAACATAGGCATAACCCTATGGGAATTAAGCTTTAGGGGCTGACGCCTCAAGCCCTCTAAGCCTTAAACCTTTAAGGTTAAAACTCTATAGGCAGGGTTCAACCCCATGTCAGGGCTTTAGAGATAAACCCTGAAAAACCCGAAGCCTTTAAACCCTAGAGGGTTTGAAGGTTTAAATGCCTAAGCCTGAGGCTTAAATTCCTAAACTTTATATGCATTTAAACCTAAGAGTCTGGGCATTTATACCTTCAGCGCCTATAGGCCTTTAGGGTTTAAACCTTTGAACCTTTTAGAGCCCTATAGGGTATAAACCTTTGAACTTGTAGAGCCCTATAGGGCTTTGTACGTAGGACCTTTAGGGTCTATGTGAATATTCTCCGGGGAGGGGGGGGTAAAGTATTATTAATATACATAATCTTTATTATTATAATATGAGTACTATTAATAATATGGGAAGTATTAGCAGTATTAATATAATACCAATAGTATTAATAATATTGCTAGTACTTAAAATATTAATACAATATGTGGAATTTGACCAACACTGGTCTTGCACTGCACAAATGCAAACTCAGGTGGCCAGCTTGTTTTGATTCCGCGGGTTCGCGCGCTCTGTGTGACCTACTGCCAAAGCGTCCGGTCGGACCTCTGCAACCTGAAAGCTACAGAACGAAACTACCAAGCACAAAGGCTACACTACTCGCATACTTAAGCCAAAATATTAGCATTGTTACAAATTGCCTTTCTGCACTTTCTCTTTGAGTCCACCTGGCTTGGATAGACACGGGCTTGTGCCAGCATTGCAACTTGAAATACTCCGAAGATGGAAAGCATTGCATAGTTAAAGCAGCAAAGACAAGCGTGTCTGAAAGCAAAAAAGTTGCATTGGACCTTAAGTTGGAAAGTGGCTTAAGCAAGGTTTGCAAAGGTGCAATGGAGCGATCTTCTTGCTTAAAAGAAACAGACATTGTGGCGTTTGGAGAAAATAAATTTCTTGGTGCTAATACTGTTTCAGAATAAGAGCAAGAGCGCAAATTATGTGTTGCACACTGGCAACCACCACAGGTTCTGATGGAACACTGTGCTCTGGCCAGCAAAGGCCTTTAAGGGCGCCTGTGCGACAAACAGCTTCCATAAGGAACAGAAGATTCTTGCAGCTTTTGGGCTCAAGTTTTTCAGGTTCCGTCCACTGTTCAATGTGGCCAATTAGCACAACCGACAGGATTCTGTGCAGACTTATCCACAGTGGTCCGTCTTGGACATTGATTAACTTCTGTTCGCAGCTGAGGCAACCACGCCAATGCCACAGCCGCTCTGAAGGTTCAGCCGGAATCAACTTCTTAAAACAACCTACTGCCTTTCAGCGTAGGTTAAAGGAACCTGTGTCAAGCATGGTGTTTCATTTTTCTGTTGTTATCAGGTGCACAGGTTGAACTGGAACAATGCATGTCTTGTATCTGCAGCTTGCACAGGCATTGCCATCTTTGTGAAAAGCAGAGCTTTAGCGCAGACTGCTTTTTCCGTTCGCACTTGAGCCAAACACGTCAGTGTTCAGCTGCACTGTCTTTGGTCAGCAAAGGTGCTCTCTCCAAGAGCAAAGGCTTCAAGTCTTCAAACGACATCTCAACTTTGTTTAGACAAAGGAGAAGACAAAAGTAACATGCAAAACATCTTGGTTACTGGTTCAGGACTTCAGGTCTGTTGCAAAACATACAGCATGCTCTCAGAATGCCTCAGTCGAGTGTCAAACGGTCACGACACGGTACGAACGACGGGGCAAAGCACACGGAGTGAGTAACGGCCAAAGTCTGTTCCTCAGAGCTTTGCTTCAGCACTTCCAGATGACTCTCAGGTCAACTCCCGAGAGCTAAAAGCCTCTCTGTGCTTCTCAAAACTCATCATCGGACTTGCAAACCAAAACATGTCAAGTCAAAGCACCTTCATGTCATGCAAACATGCTCATGCCAAAACAAAACATGTTCTTGCCATGTCACAGCACTCATGTCCTACACATGTACCTGCAAGCAACTAGGCAAACAAAGAAATGTCATATTTTCTTCAGCAAGCGCGAGAGCGTTACCCAGTGGGTGTCCTGCATGCAAAAACGAATTCGCCCGGAGCCCCTTTGGGGCGAGACACAGTCTCTCGGGCAGTCGGTCACCCTGCTACGGCAAAACCACAGCTTACAAGCTGGGAATGTGGTGCACCCACGGCCATCTACAGGGAACTATGTTACAGCTACTCATCAGGAAGAGTTTGCGACCGCAGCCCTAAGGCTGGGAAAGGATGCCCCCAGAGAAGCAACCCAGTTTCCACAGCCTCCTAGGCCGGGGTGGTGCATAGCCAGCGAACTTCTTCCCCCAAAGGTCCAAGGGTGTTGCATATCTGGTCAAAACACGCTTGAGGTGGACCCCTGGAAACTTGCCGAAAGTAGCCCACATCATTTGGGCAATATTTGGCAACTACCCTCCAGAAGCCAGTCCATTCCGGCCTCCCATGGGAGGGGCCCCAGTTGTTGGCATCGATGAAGGCCGGAAGGGGAACCACCCTCGTGCCCAGCGGCCTGTGGCTCAGGTTTGAAATGCCAACATCCTTGGCATCAACCCCACAGGCATACAAGTGCACCAAGGTGGCCAACGTGGCCAGGAGGTAGGAATGAACACGGAGACCATTGGCAGCATTTTCCTGGAGCCAGTCACGGGCCTGGCTGCGATGCTCTTGCACGTGGTACAGGAAACGATGCAGGCCCGCACCTGGCTCTCCTTCAGGCCCTAGTCCAATCCACATGGAGCCACTGGTGAGGATGGGAGCCATAAGCCGGGGAAAACGCCGCGCCATATCGATCTCCGGACCATTTAAGGATGCATCATCCGTGAGCTTCAAGACCAACGCCTGAGACAGCTGGTAGCCTACACGGCTTTGTCCCCAGCCCAGGCGCGTGAGAACTCGGGCTTCCATCACGACCTGGCGAATCGGATCCCACGTAAGTGTGAGCTCTGGAGGGAGGAAATGCCGAGGCGAGGTGGGCCGCTTGATGTAGCTTGCTGCTTCACCAGCCGCGTGCACACCCGGGGTAAAGTCCTGAGCTTCTCTACGCATGCGTTGCCGCCGGCCCCAGGGGGACTCCTCAGCCTCAGGGGCTGGGTCTGCAGGGGGCCGGGCCCTGGACTCCGAGGGGGATCTAGGCCGTGCATGCTGGTCGGGAAGGTCACGGCTGGGCTTCTGTCCACTGAGCGCAAGACCAAGCGAGGAGAAGGAGAGCGCCGACGGTCACGCCGAGGAGCCGGGGGGGGGGGGGGTGGCCAAGCTTTCGCCGCCGGTTGGCCCGACGAGCTGGAACCCCCAGGTGCCGCCTCCTCAGGGAGGGGTGCCCCTTCCTGCTGGTCGTCTCCTACAGGAAGGCCCTGGTCTATGCGCTGTTGCCTGCGGATGTGGGGTGGAGGTCGTCTCTTGGAATGCTGGAGGGTCGCCGTAGAGCGCCACGACTTCCCCTCTGCCATTCGTTGGCGCTGCTCGCGCCAGAAGGGGCCGCGACCCCTGCCCTGTGAGCCCCCCATCACTGCTTCTTGAAGCAAAGGGTCTGCTGACCAGTGGGAAGCTCTTTCTTCTTTTTGGCACGGCTGGCCGGCTTCGGCGCAGCCTCCCTTGCCAGCCCGGCTTCACGTGCACTTGCCCCAGGAAGGGAAACCACTTCCTTTGTTTTGCCAGATCCCTTAGACACGTGCGACTCTACAGCCGTAGGAAGGGAAGCCGCTTCCTTTAGAGTGGAAGAAGAACCTGGTGAGTCCGGCCGCCCAGAAGGCGTGGAAACCGAGGCCTGGGCACGAAAGGACAAGGTCTGGTTGTTGTGGAGTTTTTTACAGGGTTTCTGGAGACCTAAGCAAGGCTGAGAGTGGCCTGGAAGGAGGGTAAGATGACACCCGGAGCACAGCCATCTACGTCCCTCATTTTTGAGCCGGTGCGTCGGGTGGAGGGTAGGCCAAAACTGGGGGCCATTGTGGGGCATGTCAATGCGCGGCTGCGCTAGCAAACGTTCTAGCCTATCCATCTCAAGAACCTGCTGGAGGTAAAGCTTACACTTCACACAAGTGATTGCCAGATTATTTGTTTTTAACCCCCCTACTTGCCAGACATGGCCACCTACTGCTTCCGGGACATCCACTTTCGCCAACAAAAGCTGGCGTTTGTTAGGCCCTTTGGGTGGTTGGGGTTCCTGCCGTTGGCTACGGGGGACAAAATCATCTTTTGAGGCATGTTTCAAAACAACCACAGCTCGCGACGCCAGGTAATCGCAGATCCTGGTTACGAGCCTATCCAGGTCCTGGACTTTCCGCCCTGCAACAGGCGGTATGGTGGCAGCCCGTTTGCCTGCCAACTCGTCGGCGCACTGGTTGGCCTTCTGTCTCCAAAGCTGGGAAAAGCCAAACCGAATTTCGAACTCACGGCTAGTTAGGTGGGATTTTACCCAAGTGGGCCTTATCCTACCACGGTCCTCCCAGACCGGGCCCCAAAAAGCCGGGGTTGTTTTTTGAAAGGATTTCTTGGTGAGGGTCCTAAGGGCTGGTTTACAGTCCCCCGTGAGGTCAACCTGACCAAGGGTGTGTTTAATCGTCTGCACAATGGCATAAGATTCACCGTGCGCGACGCTTGTTCCGGGGGGGGTGAGGCCGGACATGGTCCCTATCTCCTGAAACAGACCATCTTGAACCCGCCCCACGACAACAGACCAGCTCACTCTTCGCAATCGCGGATCCTTGGTGAACTTGCCCCCTGACGCGTCCGTAGCAACCACCAACCCGTCTGCTACTACCTGGGAGGACGTGAGAAACACGCCTGTCTTGACCACTTCTAGGTCCCCCGAGGGAGCGACTGGGAGGTATTTAAGGGGGAGCATACCCCGAAGCCACAGGCAGTCATCAGGGAAACGGCGCTTCTCCGCCAGAACGTACCCCGGTAACCGCATGCCACCAGGGAAGGAAGGGCATTCATACATGAGGTGACGCAAGGTGGCCCCGGGATCGCCACAAAACTTACAGACATCCTTGCCACCATTGCCGTTATGGAGAATGGACCCTTTATTTCTGTTTGCTGTAAATTGCATTTGCTTTCAACTGGAGGTCAAATGTATCTTGTTTAGGGAAAATTCAATCTCACTTCATCTCTGGTGAAGTAAGTGAATCAAGAATCTATCTCAAAACCGGATGCAAAACACTAATCAATCAGACTCATTCACAATCACACCTTTTTCATGCCGGTGGCAGAAGATCTTGGGGAAAGTTCGAGTAGAACTCCCAGCGCACCATACCTACGGCATGCGTGCTGCATCCAAATGCTTTGGATACGGGACATGACATCAGGAGATGGGGAAAGTTCGAGTAGAACTCCCAGCGCACCATACCTACGGCATGCGTGCTGCATCCAAATGCTTTGGATACGGGACATGACATCAGGAGATGATCATGCCTCTCACAACCCCCAAATGCTTTGGATACGGGACATGACATCAGGAGATGATCATGCCTCTCACAACCCTTTGGATACGGGACATGACATCAGGAGATGATCATGCCTCTCACAACCCCGGTGGGCTGGGTGGGAGACAAAAATTTTTCTGTGCACCTTACTCGAACCGAGGTGCTGCAGATATCACACGTTGTTTCACAAAACATGACATCTGCATTCAAGAAAATGGGCACGTGCTGCACTTGCCATTTTAAATGTCATGATGCGTGCATGTGTGTGCATCACAAATGGACACGTCCCGTTTTAAAACAAAACACCGCAAATGCAACCAGAAATTTTTCCCAAGAAAAATTTCGTGATACAGCCACAGAAATAATGCCTTGTCCATCGCGATGGAAGGCCGTCTTATTTCTGTTTGCTGTAAATTGCATTTGCTTTCAACTGGAGGTCAAATGTATCTTGTTTAGGGAAAATTCAATCTCACTTCATCTCTGGTGAAGTAAGTGAATCAAGAATCTATCTCAAAACCGGATGCAAAACACTAATCAATCAGACTCATTCACAATCACACCTTTTTCATGCCGGTGGCAGAAGATCTTGGGGAAAGTTCGAGTAGAACTCCCAGCGCACCATACCTACGGCATGCGTGCTGCATCCAAATGCTTTGGATACGGGACATGACATCAGGAGATGATCATGCCTCTCACAACCCCCAAGACTCAAAGGCGTGATCAACGAGTGAATCAAGATCGATCGTGAATTCTTTGCCCAGCTCTGGATCTTTAGAGCCGCGTGAGGGGGCATCTGCCACGTTTGAGCAGGTGTTCACGCGTTCAAACCAGATGTTAAGCCCAAGCTCGTCACACAGCACATGAACATGCTGAGCAATCGCTTCTCCATACTTGTTGCTTGAAATTCCGGCAACCATACAGGCCAGGGCACCCTCGTTGTCAGTAAACACAACGAGGTTGGTACTGCGAATGAGCGGAGCCCACAACCTGAGTCCGACAAGGATGGCTAAGCATTCGTACTCGAAAATGGGGTTGCCGCTCTCAGGATTCATGCGACGTCTCACATGCTCAGACGCGCGGTCACTGAAAAAGCCCATCTTCGAACCCACTTCATTAACAAGAACACCACCCAAGCCTACGTTATCACCCTCACAAGAGGCATCGACATAAAGATGCATGGTAGTCAAGATGTTGGCGCAGATCACCCTGGGCGGTGAGAAGTTGACTCGATCGCGCAACCTTAGTAGGGCTACCCTGGTACACTCATCCAGGTGTCCTCCCCCTCGTTGCACAAACCGCGACAGTTGTTTGTAGGCTGTTCCAGCAACCTTTCCAGCTATCTGGTTTTCAGCAAACTGGAGTCGGCCCCTGATGCGCTCGCCATCCTTTTGCGTGAGGTAACCAGACGAAAGGATGTCGGACAAGGCCTCGAAGATCTCGTCTCGCCTCGACTCCGTGTTACACAGAGTGATACGTCCGAGACGGGACTCAGACAAGTCGAACTTCAACCCCAACACTTTTGCACAGGAGTCGAACACAGATTCTTTGTCTTCGGCGACATCCCACCCCAACAAACGGAATACTAGGCAAACACCAATGTCGAAGAGGCGGGCCAGAGGAGCCAGCTCCACACCCACAAAGTCGTCAAAGTAAACGTTGATGTGGCATAAAAACAGCACTACAAGGACTTTCCATATCCCTAGTGACACCCGGCAAAATGCGTGCACACTGTGCCGTGATCCAAACGGAAGAACCTTCTGTCGGAAAATTCGGGGACATTTCCCTTTTGGGTCGTAGACGCACAAGAAACTGTCCTCTAGCGCCTCCAGGGATAGTGGAAGGTTTTTGTAGGCCTTGTGAAGGTCCCAGGACTTCAAGAGAAGTTGGTGCAACCTGCACTTTGCATCGGCCCTCAGTCGACGGGCCAAACCTGATGCTATGCAGTCGGCGGTGTGCACGGTGATTGTGTCGTACGATGAAGATGTGGCATTCAAACCACTTTCAAGGTAGTTATCGATGGGCCGTGTTTTGTTATTCTGCACAACGCCAAAGCGCCTGGTCAACAAAGAGCTGGCCCCCAAGTCGCTCTCTTTCAGCGGCCCGTCCAGCCACCCCCGCTCCACCTCGTCCAAGGTGACTCGGTAAGTTTCAGCATCCACCACATCATCTCCTGAGCTCTTGGTAGAGTTTAGGATGCCCTTCCGCATTCGTTGTGCTGACCCTCGCAGGTCATCGACCGCCATGGTGGCAGCTGTACGCTTAGCGCGGAACTCAGGGCAGTAGGGGATCGGACCTCCTAAAGCAAAACCCTTAGACATATCCGCAACCAACGACGGATCATTGTGGCCGGCAGCCTCAATCATCTCGCCGAAAAGAAGCAGCCTTTTCTTGCTCAAGGTTTTCGCACAGTGCTTGGGCAGTGTCTCCTTATACACACGTTCTTGCTCGTCGAGCTCTGCGGCTCGCCCTAGCCACTGACGTAAAGCTTCAGTCCTACTGGCACCAACGGTGTGCATGCCCTCCGACGCCAAGAAGTCAATCGTTTGCTGCAGCTCAGGTGGAACTCCTGAGCTCATAAGACGCGGGTGCTTAGCCTCAAGCGCTTGCTCGATGAATTCATCGCACGTCCACGGTACTCCAACCCACGTCCTAAACCTATCGGGAACCCTACCTAATGGGGGGGAGCCTTCCTCGGGCCCTGCCGGTGAGGAGGCTTGGTGTCCTGGCTGTTCGGGTAAAGCAAACCCCACACACTGCAGCTCAGCCGTTTGGTCTGCAGTCAAGCGATCTGTGTGATTGGTGGTGTAGGCAACAAGTATGTCACGTGTCGCCCCATGCCTGGGCATTGCACAGTGCTTATGGAGGGGGTTAAACAGGATCCTGTTGGACTCGAACTTCAGCTCACAGCCCATCAAGTCAGGCACGTTCGGATCTGGGCAGGGCACGTCCCCAAGCTCATTGTGTATCCAAATTCCACCCTCGAAAGATGAAAGTTTTAAAACACAGTTAGGGAAACCTTGGGCATTGTTTTTGTCAACATGAACCCCTCCTTGAAGGTTTCGTCCAAGCATGATGGCTGAGAACGGATGCCCTGGTGCATGCTGTTTTACGAACCGACACAGCATAGTACTGACAGCCGGGTTGAGCCGCAGGTTAGTCCTAACCCCGGTAACCCCTCCCTGTGCATAGGCCCCTGTGGACCACGAAAACTCATCATCCAGGCCAGCACCTCTGGCCAAGCGATCCGACTTCAAGAGCTGGAACAGCTGAGTTACATCATCAGCCAAGATAGTTTTCTGTTGAAGGCACACAGAGGCGAACTGCTCGACGGGGCAGTTCGGGTTTCCCTGATTCCTACTGCTTGGCTGGGATGAAGGTCCAGAACGCGGCGTCTCTCCACCCCCAAGTGCAACACGACGCAATATACGAGAACCCATGGGCAGCTCTGGCAAAGGCGGGTCACACGAGGCTGAGGGCGGAACAGGCACGGCCGCGGGCAGCTTGGCTGAAGCAGGCAAGAAGTCATGGTCAGATGTCACAACGACCACATCACGGAACTCAGCGACCATAGGAGCAACCTTCTTGCCACGGGGCTGGGAGCCGAGACTGACCTGGGCCGCTCTATGTTGCTGCCGAACCTCATCTGACAGGGAACGAGCAGGCAGCTGGAACCCACGCTGGCAGAGCTCCTCAAGCAGGAGCGCGGCGACCGCCTTGCACAACCCAAGCGGGTAAGCGGTCTCCTCACTAGTAGCATAGCGGAACTTAGACACACGACCCCAAGGCAAATGCTTATGGGAGGCGGACTCGCCAGGGCACGTCAGGCTGAGTTGGTCGAAGGCTGGCACGTTGTGCACCCACAACGTATGCTTGGGGCGGCTGCCCCCGTAGCAACAATGGTCAAACACAGTTTCCCGCAAGGACAAACCGGAGGTGCCCTGACGCCACGCAGTGGTCTGCCACATGAAAGAATTCAGGGGATTCTCGCAGCTGACAAGCTTGCCAGCAAGAACCGCCCGTTTCAGGGCTGCAGCGGTTACGCCATAGAGGCGGTTGGCCGCAGCCACACGTTGAGCCAAACGATCAGGAAGCCCGGGTAGGCCATCAGGAAAGGTATCATCCCGACACGGTTCGGGATCGTGATCGGACTCTTGGATCAGGCGAGCACGGGAGCTCGTGCCACACGGTGGTGCAAAATGCACATAAAGGCAAAAAGGGTTGTCGATCATATCATGCAAAAGCTGTACATCAAAATCGCGAGTGAGGTCAAGTTTGACCATGGGACAAGGGCAATGCCTGGGGATCCGATGATCGACGCCACAGGAATCTTGCAAGCCCACGGCACGAAGGGCCACAGTAAGACGAGCGCTGCCCGCAAACACTTCAAGAGCATGGAAAACAGTCAGCTGCTTGCTACCGCCAGGGTGAGCTGCACTTTCTGAAAGGGGAACATCAGGCCGGGCAGGCAACACCTCCACCGGCAACAAGCCAGCAGGCACAGCAGCCTCTTCCACAGGGGCCGCAGGCTGAGGGTGGGAACATGAAGTGATTGCGGGCTCCGCCAGTCAAGCGGGTTTCTTAGGGCACACATGTGCCCCATGCATACCTCCACACCGCATGCAAACGTGCAAGCCCTTGCTGCAAGTTTGTCCAGCTTTGGCGCCGGGACAGCCTGCGGCCATGTTAAAACCCCAACAGCGCCGCTTCCCTGTTCGTGTCCATGATGAGAGACCTCGCAGCTCAGAAGGCAGGTTGGCGGGCTCAGTAGGGGTTTGCTTTTCCTTCCCTTTACCTTTGCCTTTGGGCTTCCGGGGTCTCTTGGCTGGGGGCCCCTCAGGGGGTCAGGAACGCCCGGCGGGGCGGGCGCAGGATGCTTGCCCGAAGAGTCAGGAAGCGGCAAAAGGTGAAAGACTACGCGCGGGTCCTTCTGCAAATCAGCCCAGAGGCTATCCAACGGCAATTCACCGGTAGCCTTGCGACGCACCCCGGCTGGGGTTAACTCGGACAAACGGACCCAGGCAGCTCTATCAGCGTGAAGGAGTTGCTGAACAGTGGGGCTGCGGTATCCCGCCAGGACAGGCTGCTGTAGGTGGTTCATAAGAAAAGAGTTCCACTCTTGCACGCGAGCATACGTGCTTAGGCCAACAAGGTCCATGGCCAACGCGCGACGATGCAGGGCCTGGAATAGATCAAGGGCATGCGTCACGTCGCAATGCTGCTCTGCAGCGCGGTCCTTGATAAGGAGCACGGAAGAGGACGAGCCCGGGGCTGCGACATCAAGTTCCTTGCGGGGCTTATCCATACGCAGTTCCGCCTGCCGGCAGGTAAACTTCGAAGGCTGAAGATACGAGACACAGTTGTCAGAAATCAGCTTCAGGCAAAGGTCATAGCTTGCATGCGAGCACTCGTTGACACCAGACAAGTCAACACCTGCAAGGCGGGCAGCTTGTTTCTGCAGGCGATCACGCCGTTCGGCTGGAGGCAATTCTTTTGGCTGCTCTTCTTTATTCTCAACTAGGCACTTGGTCTCATTGACGACCAAAGTTTGTGCTTCGAAGACTAACCTGCGTACCGCGGCGACGGTACCAAGAGAGGGCTCGGCACCACCTGCACCCCCGGGGGCAGCTACTGGAGCAACTAAGGCCTTGAGTTTCTCGTCACTGGGGGACTCCCCGGGATGACCAGGGGCAAACGCCAGTTTGGCCAGAGTGTCGACGCCCTGGTCAAGCAGCCGTTGCAATGCATCATCTGGCAACCCCACCTTAGCGGCACGCTCTTTCAAAACTGCAGTAGATTCAGTCAACAAGGCAGACATGGCGCACAGGATCTTAGGGTAAGCGAAAACTGGACCTAACAACACCTGCACAGAGGTGCTACGGCAAACTGTGTAGACTGTGGCCAAAGAAGCTGCAAAGGTCCTAAGCACCGGCCATTAGAGCTTCCGAAAACGAGGTCAGTAGTTGCAAACACGATTTGCAAAACATGATGTCAAATCATCTCGTAGAATGCACCTTCTACAAACTCTGCAGCCGTGATCGAACCACGAGCTACAATCCTTGAAGACTGAGCGCAGCAGGTTGACACATCGCATTGTCGAGTTGCAGTTTGCTACAGAGAGCCAACTGAAGACAACAAGCATGTGAGCCGTGGCTGCTGAAACAGTCAAGCTTCATCCCTGCAGGAAAAAACAGCAGCTGGAACTCCGTGGTACCCAGATATACTGCCGGTGCCACGACCGGCAGTAAGGATGTTGCCGCGAACATCCGCAAATGCTTCCACGAGCCGCACGCAAGCTTTTCACAGCGCCTTACCTCTCGAGGCGCCTGTCCAGGTGATGCAAAAGCGAGCCAGTGTCTCGGATGGGCTTAGCCATCGTACACTGCTTGCACTTCCAATGCTTGCTGTGCACTCTTCCAGAGAAGGGAACAAAACCTTTTGCCGGCCGACCGCAAAGCATCTTGCTGTCGGGCGTCGCACCTCGGGCCCTTGCGTGGATTGATTTGGTCTTAGGGTTCTGGAAGAGATCCAGGTCCACCCCTATGGTTGCACGCGGGGCCTGCACCTCGAAGCCTCGGAGGAAGCCATCATAATCAACCGGCTCGCTGGATGAGCCCGAAGATTCACTGTCGCTAGAAGACTCCAAGGAACCTGACTCACATACACGATCTGGGCTCACGCCACCGAAGACTGCATCTTCCTCGGCCTCCCTGGCAACCTCAGTCTCACCTTCCTGGAAACCGGGAGCTCGATCCAAACTTAACGCTGAAGCCCCCCCTTCAGAAGGTGCTGCCTCGTCGGGCGCCGTGTCATTTGCAGGGCCAGCAACACTGAAGGACGGTGCAAAGGCCGGCTGGAGAGAGGGGCGAGAAGCAAAACCACTTGGGAACTCATCAGGCGACTCAGCGTGCTCCCTGATCATGCCACTGCGGGTCAAGTCTGGAAGGAAGACCCCCACTCTGATCGATTTCAAGCATGCACACAAGTCTCTCAACGGTCCCGCCTGCACATCGCGACCATATGCTTCGGAAGTTTTGCCCCTAGCCCCCAGTGAGTGATGGCCAAGCACGAGGATGGTACGGTCCCCGTAATTTGCCTTTGTCACCCACGAAAGTGTTGTGGCTTTCAGGCCATGGCTCGTTAGGCCATCAAGGACTTCGCCCATCAGCGCCTTGAGGATGCCATTCAGCCACCTTGTGGTTTCAGCAGCATCCACCGCATCCCCTGACCAAGTGTAATCGCTGGCAAAACGGGGCAACATCGGACCTCTGAAACCTTTCTCAAAGTCAAACCCAACATCTTTGGCAGCCTGAACAAAAGCAAGCCCCCAAGGCTGGGAGGCGAGCCCCTGGATCGGAGCCACCAGGATGAGGACAGCACTGGGTCCACTGGTGATGCGACGGCTTTTGTGCTCGTACGTATGTGCTTCGATATACCCTTCTGCCCCGGTTATGTCCAGGTAAACCTTGAACAGATTACGCAAATCAGACACTCGGGCTCGAGCATACAGCTGAAACAACATAACTCCGAGCGCATATCGATCAAAACGGTCCAAATGGCCCCCGATCAAGGCCTCTTCAAGATGCTTCACCTCCTTCACAGTCAAGGTCCGTGATCGGTGGGCATCCCGGAGCCGGATGTTGGCAAATCTCATCGTCCCTTTGAACCATGGGTGTGAAGTCACATCATCACTCACCTGAAACCCCAACACAAAGCGACAAAAATTCAAGGAGCTTGCAAAATCCCGGATGGCACTCTTCTTGTTACCCGAAATAGCATCCTTGAGGTAACTCCGGATCTTCTCAATTGAGAAGGGGAAAGCATCGCACCCATTGTCCGACGCCCAATGCACGTATTTCCCGATGCAGCGGACTCTTTTCAGAAGAGTACTTGTTGCCTTGCCCTCAAACGTCTCAGACACAAGCTCGGCACCATCACACGCACTCCCCGCAAGCATCTGGCCCATTGAAGATGCACTGGTATCATGCAACAACACACACAACCATCGCCGCACAACTGCTTCCCTGTCCAATGACTGCTTGACCCCTGGTTCGAGACGAGCCTTGCGAAGGACCTGGTCAAACACAGGCGGTAAGGAACCTGATGCAGGCACAGAAAGTGGCACTCTCTTAGCGGCTTTGAGTTGATGAGCAGATACCGGCCACTGTGGTATATTAGGTCTTGGCATGGGCACACGTAGAGGCTGGGCGAATGGAACTGATGTTTGCACTTCAAAAACGCTCTTGAAAGGTGGCTTCTCCCAAGGCATCAATTCAACACTCCGGGCACCTGAAAAACCAGCTTCCTCGATTGCTCTGTCAAGGTCAAAATCAGCTGGTCTTTTGCGATTCGACATGTTGCGCAGTGTACCGCAGTGGAAAAGTATCTCAGGCAGCTGCACACCAGTATCGAAGTTGAGGCTGACACTCCCCCCCCCCCCTGCACAGGAAGACTCAAGGCAGATCTGGTGGTCTAGTCCTCGTGGAGGGACTGCCACTGAACGTGAGGGAAGGTTCTCTGCAACGCCACAACAAGAAACTGAAAACAGCTCTGGTTATGCAACACCCGCTCCGTCAAGGATTCAATGGCGGGAGCAGGACGCACAAGGCGGGGCTGCAGGCGGGCAGAAGCACGAACGTGGCCTCTTGCAAAGGAGCGATCTGATCACGCAAGGCCCTAACTTCTGCACGCAAAGCCTCGACCTCAAGATGGTATGCACTCAAATCACCCTGAAAGACAGCTACCTGATGCCGCAGGGGCTCAACCTGGGCAACCTCACGCTGAAGCTCTTGAAGAACGCGATCCGCTGGGTCCATCCACCAGAGATCACTCTGGCTTGCACGCCCTCTAAGAGGGAAACTTGTTGAAAGGATCAGGCCTGTTAACAAGCGGAGCCGTTGCGCCTTCAAGCCCAGGTTAGAAGAGACAAAAATTTTTCTGTGCACCTTACTCGAACCGAGGTGCTTGAGCCAAAATGGCTTGAGCCAAAATGGCTACGGCTGGACCCTTGGAAAACAGCCCGGTAGGCGTACCGGGTTGTTTTGGTGCGCACTGACTTGAGCAGGCGACGCGGGACCGTCCAGTCGACCCCGCCAGCAGCACCCGCTGCCGACGAAGCCGATCCAATGCGACGAGACCTCTGGGTTTTGATGATGTCCATGAGGAAAGACGAGGTTTGGCAGACAACCGAAACCTCAGAGGGCTTGATCTCGAGAACACGCTCCTCAAAAACCCAGCGGGAAGGATCATGGCCGTCGACCTGGAGGTCGCGGAGGTATTGACACATGGCAGAGATGGGTCCAGTGACCACGGACCAACCGTGCTTCGCAGCCTCCAGCCGCTTCCAGACCACTCGCCAAGTGTCCTTTACTGCCTCCCATCCCATGCGGTTACATCTGGCCATCATCCTGAAAAGACTTTCCACGTGCTGGGTTACCACAATAAGGTAGGGATCCTGAACCTCGTGGGCCGTCATATCTAGGATGGTATCCGTTGAACCGTATCGGCTCCTGCCTGCGTGTCGGGCTACCGCTGCGCGCATGGTTTTCATATGTTTAGGGGCAACCCCTTGTGCTTCATGGCCATAAAGACCCGAGGTGACCACACTAGAACGGTGCAACCGTAGCCGGACGCGGCGTGACGGGATACGAAGCTTACCCAACTTCAGGTTACGAAGGCTACCTACCCGGAAGCGTTTCTGGGCAGTAGTAGTCCTGCGCCGACGGCCACTGCCACTGTCAAGGCCTAAATCCTTGACCACGTCGACTATGTCAGGGTCCCCTGGCCGCAGCAGCTGTCGCAGCGCCGCGGCCGAGCGGGGTGTTCCGGCCACAAATTTGGTTTTCTCTTGGCTGAGGACAAGACCTTCAGCCTGAAGACTGGCCTTGAGCACTCGAAAGGCTTCATAAGCCGCTCCCGCGGCTATATCCGGCGAGGCATGGAGGGAGTCTGCAGAGACATCGTCCAACCATACGTCGCAATGATGCAAGCCTGTGACTCGTTTCAGTCTATGTAAGGGTTCAGACATAGTGAGCTTGGCCAAGGTGGGAGCGTACGGGCATCCCTGGATCATGCCCCGGCCTGGGAAGATGGTGGGACTGGGCTGGGATTCCCCCACCACCGTGCGACCTCCTTGGTAGAGGCGAAGGGAGAGGCACAGGGCCAAGGCTGGGAAAGACAACCGCAAGCCTTGTTCGCAAAGCCTCTGCCAAGAGACGCTATCGTAAAACCCATTAATGTCAACAAACAACGAGACAGTGTGCAAACCCTTGACTCTGGCAGACTCTTTGGAGCATTTCCTGGCCAGGGCAACGTCCAACGAGGTTCGGCCTGGAATCGCCGAGTCAAAAGGATGATCCGGGATGTAAGAGTCCAGCCACTGGCTAACCAGGAACCGCCGAGTCTTACACCAAAGCCGCCACAAGACCGAGGTAAGACCGATAGGTCTTTCCTTCAAGGCACTCTTGGCCAGAAGTACAATCTGGACCTGGGAAACTTGGAGGGGAATGGCAAGGTCCTCCTCCATTTTGTTGAAGACGTTGGCTAGGACTGCATACGCGTCCCGAGGCAGGTCTCGAAGATCATTGAAATCCCAGCCGTCCGGGCCTCCTTTTTTGGGATTCCTGGCGGCGCATATCTTAGCGACAGAGCTAGCAGAATGCTTGGGCAGGGAACGGACCTGCTCCCGGGCTAAGTCAAACAAGGCATCCCATACTTCCCCTTGGAGCGGAGCTGGCGACACCAGGTTACCCTGCCAGACCTCGCACCAAAATTCGAGCCGTTTATAGGGCCGCGCCAGGGGAGTGAACTCCCGATACGGCCGTTCCAAGGTTTGCTCATCAGCTCGAAGGGAGCGGTAAAGGGGGCGGAGGTGATCATTTTGCGCCTCTTCTAGCCACTTGGAGTAAGACTCGGAGTTCTGGGAGGTCTGGGAGGCTAAAGCTTCCTTATATTTTGCCTCAACCTGGGGCACCAACTCCCGAGTGAGGCTGCTGCGGTCATCAGCATGAACCCAGTCCTTTAGGACGGGAAGAAGGGGGTCGTCCGGAGGGATGGAGGCGAAGGCCTCTGAGGATTTGGGGACCATCCCTGTCTGAAGCCAGGTGCGCCATCTATCCCAGATAGCCATAGGCCCTCCTGTCCAGGCACCTCCGCCAAGTGGGTGCGAGGCCAACGGCCTGCGGGGAAGGTCGACCCACCAGCCCTTTCCTGTGGTGGCCTGGGCCTCCGACTGAAGGTCGCGGGACCATTGGCCCAAGGCGAGAGAGGACTCCTCCTGGGACGCCACATCCAGGATCTGGACCAGCTGGACTGGGGAGCTTGCGTGGAAGGAGGAGGGGGCCGGGGACACCACCGACCTGATGGTGGGGACTCTCAACTGGAGGGAGTGCACTGGCACGTCCAAGGTTAGAAGTCCGTGAGGCTTGAAAGGAGTGTCAAAAGACAGCCGGACCGTAGACAGGGACTGGAGACTGGGGTGGACGACGAAGAAGTCAATCTCGGAGTCCCCTCCCGCCGTAGGAGACCCACTGCCAACCACCCGGCCCTGCCACCTTTCTTCATACCTGGAGTTAAGGAAGTCCTGAATCGGAACATTAAAATCTCCACCAACCACCCACATACCTTGAAGGAGGGACAAATGTTGGGTAAGACTGGACAGGATGAGATCATTGACTGGGCTATCCAAGCCAGTCCCACTTGCCAGGTACAAGGAGATCCAATTGAAATCTACCCCTTTGGAGCGCAACGCCACAATGACATAACCGCAGCCTTGCGAGGCGTGGAAGGTCACTAGAATCCTGGGCCCCAAGTGATTTTTGACTGCAATCCCTACTCCTCCCAGGGGGTTGCCTTTTGCACTTTTCGGACTAGCAACACCAAATAGCACAAACCCCAAATTCATCAAGTGACGGGTCTCAGTCTTAAGGTCCTCTTTGGTGAGGTGAAGTTCTTGCAGCATAAGAATGTCCGGGGACAAGGTATGGGCCCATTTCCGGTGACTCGACCGCCATCGGGTGACATTGGCCGAACAGACCTTGAGATTCCTAGGCTTAACTTCGTAAGAGTTGGCAGAAAGATCCTCCGAACCTCGAAGGACAAAAACCCAGTCACTTGGGCTCGGGTTGGGGGAAGCAAGGGCCTGAAACATTTTGTGGACCACCAAATACTCCAAAGTCAAGGGGTCGGTGGGTTCGTCATCTTCGAAAAGGCCTGACTCCACCGACAGAAAGCCCTGCTGAAAGCCCCGGGACACCAAACCCGCTAACTGGCCCCACTTGTCCATCTTTTCATGCTGAGCTGTCGTGTTCCAGGCTACGATAGCTGAATCCAAAGGCTCCCTAGCCTTGAGAGGCCGGGCCGTCCTGTTGCGACGTCGTCGGGTTCTTCTGCTGCGACAAGACGACTGGGTACCTGTGGGTCGAGATCCACCTCCTGAGACGAGGGGAGTAAAAGTGCTGGGGGTTTCATACAACTGCATGTCGCACAAAGCCTCCAGAGGAAAATACCTCGGTCCCGTCACCAAGGGATGGTGGACCACCTCATATTGGCATAGCGCTGCTAAAGAAATTGGGACTGGTGAGGGATCTTTGGCTGGTACACATTCCGCTCCAAGCGAAACCTGCCCCAATCCTGAATCCCACTCCTTCTGGAGGGGCATACCCTGACACATGCCACACAGAACCGCGTGTCTAGATGACCGGGTGTAGCTTGGAAGCTCCACCAGGCAACTCTGACACTCAGGCACCACGGCACATTCATGGGAAGCCCATCCTCGGCACAGCCGACACAAAACTGCAAGCGCGAGACCATCCCCTACCTGGAAAAGGGTGTGGCACGGGTCCTCCCCGGCCTGACACCTGCAGACCTCACAACAGCTAAGGCTGAAGACATCTGCTTGGGAAGGGGATTGGCAAAACGTCTCGGGCAAGGTGACAAAATTTTGGCCAAGGGGAAAAACACGGGTTGTCGGGGAGAGGGACGACTCTGACAAGTGCGGGGGAAACAGGTTATCCCTGGAATCCAAAACCCCCAACGCCCTACAAGCCCCGAACCCAGCTCCCTAACCCGTCTGCGATGCCTGGCCCGGGGCCTGGCCCCCCACCGGTCCCCCTGGCGGGGTTCGGCTGCGGCCTCGTGCCGCGAGGTCAGGCATCACCGAGGCTTGCGAGGGTGGCAGACCCGGGGGAAGGCCTGGATCGACCTGCATGCGTCTACGCTTGGCTTCATCGGACTTCAGAGCTTCCAGCTTCCGCTTTTGCTCTTCGGTAAGACTGGCCTCTTGCATGCCCAAAGCCTGCAGGACAGATTCCACTCCATTGTTCACCTCCTCCGCGCAATGCTTGACCACCTTGTCTTCATATTCCTTGGCGGTCTTCGCGACTTCCACCTTTGCCTCCTCGATGGCATTCTGGATGTCTTGCATCTTGTGAAGCATTGCTCGCAAGTTGTCCTTGGCTGTGTCGATCTCCTCCTGCAGTTTCAGTTTCCTCTGGCCCAGATCACGGAGCTTGCCAACCGAACTGCGAAGAACATCCCCAGCCTCTTTTCCCTCCTGGCGAGGGTCCGGGGTTGGGGTAGCCGGCAGGGCGTCCACGATGACCTGGGGAAGGTCTCCGACATGCTGCTGCAGGAGAGCAACAAGATCCACATCCTCTGTGCGAGCCGGCTTGGCTTCAAACCCTGCTTCTTTCAGCTGCACACAGGCCTCTTCAGGAAGAGTATCCCATACCTTCCGCAAGCAGTCATGAACCTTGTTGGTCTTGGGCTTGCGAGGTCGGGGTTTCGGCTCCGGCTTGGACCAGGTCTTGGGGTTGGGCACATCCGTTGGCCACTTAGTTCCGCACCACTGACACTTGGGGAACTTGGGCACCTTTGCCGCGAAGATCCAGCTGGCCGGGCCACACTTCTTGCAAACGTGATACCGTCCTCCAGCCATGGTGACTGCGAAGAGGCCCCGAGCCCTAAAGGCTGGGCTCAGATGTTGGACTTGTTGAGGTCGGCACACCACCTCTGCCGGCGAGCCTCCGACAAAAGTTTCCCGGCGTCGGCAATCCAATCGTTCCGGGTCTTGGACCAACGAGCCAAAGCACGGAGTTGGTTTGTTACCCTCTGCCCCGGTGTGAGGTCTCGGGCACTGGGCTGTTCCTCAAACTCGGCTTGCAGATAGGACCTGATCGAGTCCTCCAAGGGCACCCTCTCGGCTACCCCAAAGCGCTGCACCTCAGGGGTGCGGGATCGCTCTCTTCCCGCCGTGGGTTTGGAGGACCACAGCCCTAAGGCCGGGAGAAAACAGGCCCAAGCCCTGAGGCTGGGTGAGTGCAGTGCAGCCGCAGCCCTAAGGCTGGGTGAATGCTATGCAGCCACAGCCCAGAGGCCGGGTGGGTGCTCAGGCACAGTATGGCTCAAGCGAATAGGCCGAAAACAAAGGGGGCCTGGTACCTTAACCCAGTTGAGGCCCAGAACCCAGGTTCACAGCTACTCGCTCAGCTACTTCGCCTACCCCACCGGGGTTTGAGCAGAAACTTGAGCCAATGTCATATTTTCTTCTCGGAGCGCGAGGCGCGGCCGCCGAAGCGGCAATTCCTAAAACCGTCCTTGGGTTTTCCACCTTTGGTGGAGGAGCCTAAACTTCTACCACACTTACTCCTCACTTTGGAGGGTTTGCTCAAGACCTCTTTGGGCCGTTGCCCTACGAGCCCTTCAAGAGGTGCCCTGCTTGTTCCCCCCTAAAGGGTGGGTAAGTGTGGTGGTGGTTGCCGTGTAGGCCCATACTCCCCAAGGTGGGTGAGTGAAAACAGGCAGAGGCCATTCCGGGTTGGCTTGGGGCATCCCTGCCGGGAAGTTGTGCGAACACCACTGCAGAGTGGACGAGGGCCTAAAGAAAGCTGCCGCTACCCTACTCCTCTCTTTGGAGGTAAGCTGGACTACACAGGACTGTACAGGTACAGGCCCTGCAAGAGGTGCCCTGCTCCCCCCTTTTCGGGTGGGTAGGTGTAGCGGTGGGTGCTGCGTAGGCCCCCGCTTGTGGTGTGCACAGGTGGGGTCTGGCCCCCCTTCCCGGCGGGCTTACGCCTCAAGGTCTTCAATTGAGGCGAAGCACCAGTCCCCGCTGCTGTTGACTCCATTGACCGTCATCGGGAGGCACAGGTTCAGCGAGGGACTAGGGATGATGACCCCTTGACGGACCAAAGTCCCAAGAACCTCCTTCCCCCCATCTCAAGGAGGCGCTGCCTGAAGGCGATGGCGAGTCGCCGTGGGCTCGCATGGTCCGTGCGGACGACGCCGCGGGCCCACGCCGCTACCTCGGGGGTGGTGGCTTCGATCCATCCCCACCATGAGGCAATGCGCACGCGTTGGGGAAAACCAAGCGGGGCATCTTGGAATGCCCAACCCCCACAATCAAGGGCCACGATTTCCGCGGGCCCTTGATCGGGCCCGTGTGGATTGGGGGGACGCACCCCCCAATTCTTTCTGTTCAGGTCCCTGACCCAAATGCCGGCACCCACAAGGGCTGTGAGGACCATGAACATGTGCAAGACCTGGAGGTTGGAGGGCTGGTCAGGCAACAGCGTGAGACGCTCAACCTCCAAGACCTCAATCTCCAGGGTCTTAAAGTCACGGATGGTGAGCTGCCCCGTCCCCACCATCCTGGTTTGAGTGGCACATAAACCTGGGAGCCGTTGCCCAATGGTTTGCTCAATCCCATGGTGGCTGGGATTTGCTTTGAGAGCAACCTTCCACACCTTGCCTTCTGAGGTAGGTGAGGTGTACACTGCTCGCGTTCCCCCTATGCCCAGGAGGCTGGAACCCTTGAAGGTTGGGAAGCAATCCAACCACAAGGTTGGGCCGAGGTTAGACAGCCAGAAGTCACGGTTGTTGCTACGGCGAACCCGGTCAACCGTGAGGTGGAGGCTGTCTGCCAAGAGAGGCCAAGGTGGAAGAGGTGCCGCCTCTCCAGACGACTCTTCGGAGCTAAACTCCTCGGTTGATTCAATGTCATATTTTCTTTCCGAGCGGTCAAAACGGTCGCAGCTCCAAGGCTAAGTGAAAAAGAAAAACTACCAGGACACCGATCTACAGCAGGGACTACCTGCCTACAGAAAATGTCGCCCCGCCACCCGCAGGTAACGGAGCAAACTGCTGCATGCGAGTCAAGCTGGACCAGGTGTCAAGTGCCAAAGCGCGGATGCCGAGAGAGCCACGAATTCAACGGGCATGCAGGCAAGTCCCGGCATCCTCCTTCACAGCACTGAAGCAAACACTGATTCTCCAATCTCTGGTTAAAAGCGAATCCGAAGCTCAAGGACTGCAAGCTGCCATGTCATGTCATATTTTTTTCTTTTTTTTTTTTCACACCCCCTCATGCCTATTGCGCGGTCAGTCCTTCTTTCGTCTTTCGAAACTTCTCCTGGCTTCTTTCACCAGGAAGCGGCCTAAGCCCTGCGGATAGACACCTGTCGCTGCCACGCTAGTAGCACTCGCGTGCTCGTGGTTGCCTGGGCAAACACAAGAGGATAAATTAAAACTTGAATCCGAACTGACGAACCACCAATGCTTCAGGATACGGTTGCCAGCTTCCTCGAAACAGCACCGGTCTACCAAACACTCGTGCTCGAGTCCCAGTCTTTTTGCTGTCGCCTTGTAGACTGTTTCTCCCCAAAGGCCAGACCCTTTAGGCCATTCGTGGGAGAGGAGGAGCCTCTCGTGGCCAGCATAGTCTTGGAAAACTGCTCGTATGCGTCTCCAAGACTTCTTGTGTACCTCCAGACTAGCTCTCCATCTCGCCCGATTCTTTACGTCCTTTGAGAAACGCAGGTGCCTAAGGCCACTACCTGCGCTGCACGGCGTAGACAAATGTGCATACACGTAGATTCTTTCGTTGGAAGCCATCTTCTCCAGAATCCCTTTCATTAACAAAGAAGCTTCTCTACTCAGCAAGTCTAGTTTCTTGGTGATTCCAAAGTACGCGATGTCACGGTTCTGCTTACAAGCTTGGGCTATCGCGCTTTCCTCTTCGCAACAAAGTTCCAAGACAACCAGGTTGGCCTCCCCAGAAGCAACTCTGTAGGCCTCGTCCTTCCACGAGCTCGGAATTGCGAGCACTTCATCACAAGTATTGGGCTCTTTAAAGGTAACCGAAACGCTAGAGCCTGAAGCTTTTTCTTCCCAGCCAACCGGCTCGGTGGTCAAGCCACAAGCCTCACACAAACTTGCCAAACTGTCATTCGTGGGACTTTTCGTTAGAGCATCTGCGGGGTTGATGGCCCCCGGTATGTGCTCAATCGTGAACCTTCCACGATCCACAAGTTCCTGGAGAAATGCGGCTCTTAACTCTATATGGCGAACTTTCCTCAGCAATGTTCCCATTTTTGAGATACAAACCGCGCTTTCAGAGTCAGAGTAACCCTTCAAGAGATAGTAACCGGTCTCCCTGTCCTGCGGAATGCCTTCCAAGATGGTCTCTGTCAAGAGGGCAATGTAGAGACCTTCCCTGGCTATCTCCGTGAGCGCCGCAAGCTCACTCTCAGCACTGGACAGGGCTGTGGTTGATTGTTTTCTGCTAAAAGTCTTTAGACAGCAGTTTTCCCAAGTAATCACACCACCACTAACCGAATTCAAACTCCAGCTGGCATCTGTAAAACAGGAAACCGCCTGAGGATCCGCATCATCTTCCAGGATCTCCCGAGTTGATGGAAACACCTGTACTCGGTGCGGAAGCCCTTTTATCCACTTAAGGACGTCTCTCATGCACGTCTCAGCAGCCTCGTCTGGCGCCGACTGGTGCCGGCCCAGAAACCCGCAGCAGAATTGCAGGTCCGGTCGGGAGAGGGCTGCCCATGCAAGCCGACCAAGGGTTCTGCGATACTTTTCGTGCGCAGCTGGGCTGATCTTTTCAGTTTGCCCTTTACGAACCAGGTCGGAATATCGCTTTTCAAGCGACGGGAGTTTGGGGCTCGGTTTGGTTATATTGTACTCAGAGCAGCACGCGTCTAGGTACTTGCTATCTAGCCCGAAATAGACGCGCTTGTCTCCGGAACGTCGGAATATTCTCCTACCCAAGAAGGAAACTTCCCCCGCACCATTCTCAGGAAGCTCTCCAGTCAGTTTCAGCTTGTAGCGTTTCTGCAGTCCTTCGAAAACTCTCTTACCTTCCGATGGGTCCTCGGAGTAGATCAGCAAATCGTTTACATAGAACAGTACCAACGTCAGACCCTTCGACGTCTTCCTTCGGTATATCGTAGGGTCCAGGCTTGGACTGAATCCGCTCTTCTCCAAGTACGAACTCAGTTCCTTATACCAAGAAAGCGGTGCCGATCTCAATCCGTTCATCGCTTTATGAAGACGAAGATACACCTTCTTGTTTCCTGCCTTTTGGGGAACAGAAGAGTCCGCAATACTCACATTGTTTGGGAGCTCTACGTACTCTGGCCTTGACACTGCAGCGTGCATGAAAGCCACGCTCACGTCACAGCTCAACACTGAGCCTTTCTTGCAAAGCAATGCCAAAAGAAGCCTTAAACCCTCTAAACTCGTAGTCGGGCTGTAGATGCCTTCTGAAAGCGTCGTGCCTCCCATTGAAGCGTAATCTCTAACAACGAGGCGGGAACGGTAAAGACCTTTACGTTTGATCGTGTTAACCCACCTGCTCGTGAGAACCCTCCGACCGCTCTCTCGCGCCGACTTGCGGGCCTCAGCTTCAGAGATCACTTTTCCTACTCCAAAAGACTCGAGTTCCTCAAGCTCCAACTTCATCGAAGCATACAGAAGTTCAGGGTCTAACTGTTCACCTGAGGTCTCAGAAACGGCGTTTCGGGGTACTTGGCACTTGATCTTACTCCCTCCGAATTTGAGAGTAAACGAATCAGCTACTTCTTTAGACGTGGCCAGAATGTCCGGTCCTTTGAACAAAGACTCTAACAGATGGTTAGTTAGCCAGTCAATTTCCATGTCCTCTAGGTCATCCGGCTGCATTTCCGGTGACCCAAGTCCGCCTTCCCCCTCATCATCTGTGGGTTCCACGTAAGACGGAATATCATTCAGAGGATCAGGATCATCTGGTACCATCTCTTCATCTTCGTTTTCAAACCCCGGGTCAGGGTCTTCTGACTTCACCGGATCAGGTGGTGGCTCAAACATGATGGGCCTTTCAGGATCCGCTGGGTCTAGAACCAGAGGCTGTGAAGTAGACAGAGCGTGTATGGCCCCTACGTCGTAGACAGGCTCACCTTTCGCTCCTTCTAAGGCCCTACAGACAGGAAAGATATCGATCTCAGTCTGACCCACTGGAGCAGCAAAGACACCGCCCCCTCTAGGCTCTTTAGGCCCTAGATACACAGCTTTCACTGTTTTCTTTCCCCTGTACTTCTGTTGATGCGCTTTTGAGCCCCCTACTTTAGCGTAGACAAGACATCCAAACGGCAGGGTCCTCGTACGATGCACAATCTCCTCGTGCAGCCGGTCAATGGGCGTAGTCACGTCCTGGTGACTAAAGCTCCAGAGGTTGTAGCACCTGGCACTGTAAAGGACACAAGCTTGCCAGAGCATTCCTCCCAGCGGAAGCTTCTTGTTCCAGTCTTCCGGCGCGGAATTCCGCGCAACTTCTCTCTCCAAGTCTAACCACACTGCCCAAAATCCCTGCCTCATAGTTTCTACTTGTCTTTCAATAGCGCCTTTTGACTGAGGGCGATACCCGGGCACGACGTCCACAATGACGCCAGAAACAGCTACATCACCTGTACGGGTAGTCAATTTTTCGGCTAAAGACATCAAAGCCGACTCCTGATCACATCTCACTGTGACCATTTTATTCACAAAACCCATTTCGCGAATCACTCGTCCAATGTTGTAAAACAGATCCGGATCATCCAAATTCATGGCCGGGATGACCGTGGTATAGTTCGAAGAGCAATGTGCAAGAAGCAGCACACGAAGACGACCGAAGTAGTAGAAATCCATTCCTATCGTCTGGTCCTCGCGTTGCAAACGCCTTCGCAAGCGTCTCGCAGGAACCTTCCCTTTACTCGAGGTGCAGGCCTCACAGTTCACATCATAAGGAAAATGACCTCTGGATCTATGCACTTGCAAAGCCACACTTCGCAGAGGTATCCTATCTGAAACTTCTGCACCTCCAGGCGGTTCCGGGGGTTTAGGTGGTTCAGCACCTTGAGGCTTCGGAAGCGGACTCTCTTTTTCTCCTCTCTCTTCTCTCTCTGAAGAACGTGGTATGTCACTATCGAGTTCTAAGGGCTCAGCTTGCGTCCCCTTACCGGGGAGGGGCAGTCCACGCACAACTCTCAAGTGGCTGTGCTCAGAAGTGGATCTGCTCCCTTTTTCATCATCGCCCTTTCTTCTCAACAAACAACAACCACACACACTCCAAGCACAACACCATGCCATGCACACCAACAAGCTCCACAAGTTCCTGTCGAGACAAAGGCCCAAGCACATGGCCTTACATGCGAACTTCAAAGAGGCTTTAAAACCTGAGCTCCAAGTTGGTTTCACAACGTGCCTGCTAAAGACCAGAGTACGTTCTACATCAACTCGAACATAACAGAAACGAGTCTTGATTCGCACTCGGACTCCTTTACGACGATGGTGTAAACGGTACTTTCGGGATACAAGTTGAGGGTAGTCACCAACTCCTCGAAACCTTTTCAAACACATCTTCAAGAATCGAAACCCTAACCAGAACGAACCCCCCAAGAGACTTGCTATCACATAGATCGCCAAGCAAGCGAAAACATCCAATGCTTCTCCTGGCATGCAAAACAAAGCACTCCTGGCCGGCAGGGGTCTGTCATGACTCATGTTCAGGAGGTTTGGGTTCGTGGCGTTTCTGAGGTTCACACTTGAGGGTATTTCGGATCTTTGAGGGTACTGCTTAGAAGATCGACGTTCTTTCGGGCTAGTTAAACGCGGACTTGAGGGTATTTCGGATCTTTGAGGGTACTGCCGAGAAGATCGAAGTTCTTTTGGGCTTCTCTTCAAGGGACCTTCAAGCTCGCACACTCCTAACCAAGCAAGTCTCACACAGCAACATGTCTGTTCAACTGCTTCACTCATGCTTCTTTCCAAGTCCAAACAAGCCTGAAAGACACGGTGTTTTTCCAACGCGCAAGACATGCGATCGGCGCGTTCAGAAACAATTCCACAAAAGGAAGAATTCCGCACAGCCTTTAAGGCCTTCACTTCTTCTGGCAAGGGGAAGGAAGCACAAACTCCCTCTCTTCGGCTGTTTGACCCAAGCCGCCCGGAGGCGGAAGGGCACCCGCTGCGGATGATGTAGCGGTCTCGGAGGTAGGCCCTTCCTCCGCTGTCACGGTTGCTGGCTCTGGAACTGCAGGCAAAGACTCTACAGCCACTGGCGCTTCTGGAACCGTCAAAGGCGAGGAAGTTGGAACCACAGACCAGGCCTTCGGTGTAGCCCCCGCTGGTGCTGCCTTGGATTTCGACAGAGCACCTGGAATTTCCCCAGGAGCTGCCTTCGGGACATAACCGGGACCTGGAATCTCCCCTGGAGGAGGGGTCTCCGGCACACTCTCCGTTGTGGAACTTGGAGCTCCAACCGGTGCCGTGGGTCCTGGAGTTTCTGGGGCCCGCTCCTTTTCCACCACCATCGGCTCCACACTGTGGTCCGAGGGACCAGGAGGAGCAACAGGTGGAACATCCAAGAACTTGAAGGACTCCAAAGGGGCCAATGAAATTGCGGAAGGCGAAGGAGGTACCGGTGTTGAGGGAGCCGCAGTGTCCCCCTGAGGGGTTCCTAGGGCTGCTGGATCGAACTTGTACCCCGCAGTGTCCGTCGCGACCGGCGATGGCTCCATAATGACAGGAGACGGTGGGGGCGGCGCAGAGGAGCCCACATCCTTCAAGGCTTTCTCCGCTTCGATGAGCGCCAAAACTCTGGTCCGGCTCTGCATCATGTATTCCCCCATTGGAATCGATTCGTCCGACGAACTTGCCGAGGATGACTCTGCAGACTCTGTCTCCGAGCCTTCGTTCATTGCTCCAGTCTCCGAGCCTTCGTTCATTGCTCCAGTCTCCGAGCCTTCGTTCATCGCTCCAATTCCACCTCCAGTATCTGCAGTCGCTTTGGAAGCAGCTGCAGCCGTCCTTCTGGCCTTGACCTTGGGTCGAGCGGACTGCAAGTCCTCCCATTTTCGGACCTCTGCTTCGAACTCGATATAGCGCCGGGTGCGCTGATCCATTGCCCCCATTAACGCACGCCACCCATGCCTGATGGCTGAGCCTGGCACCCACTCGAGCTGGAGCTCGACGTCGTCTGGGTACATTCCAGCCAAAAGGTTGCGTTCCGCCTCCGGCATGGCCTCGTAAACGGTCAGGACCTTGAGGATACGCTTGATGTAACCCAGCGCAGCCACGTCCCCGCCACTCTGGTGGCGTAGGTGACTTGGATCGGGAGTATACCCTTCGATAGCTGCACGCGCGTCCCTTGCACGCACGCCGCGTTGGTGAAGAGTGCGGCCTTGACCCGCGAGTTCGAACCTTGTAGTATGCTCGTCCAACAACTCGTCGGTGAGCTGGGAAAAATCCCTCTTTCTCTTCACCGGAAGGATGCCTCCTTGCTCCGGGGCTTCCGGAAACTCGGGCAGCCACAGCGCCCACGCAACCTCCGCGCTGATGTAGGGCGTTCCATCCAGAGGATCGGGATCGTGATCGCGAAGCCTCTTGGACCAGCCCGTTCCCAGGCACGGCCCCACATCTCCGGTTCCAGGTTGTTCTCTGGAATTGCCGGCACAGGGTATCCACATGCAATAAGATCTTCTCGCTGTTGTCGTATCGCTTGCATGAAATACCTGAAGCGCGGTCCCCTCAGCATGCTTCTCCACTTCACTATCAGCGACGGCTCGGCTGATGGCTGCGAAGGCCTGGCCTTGCTTGCCCTCCATTTTCCCCATGCTTCCTCCTCTTCTGTCTCTCCTGTCTCTGATGCAGCCACCGTAGGCGAAGGTACTGCAACTTGACTCGGAGGCCTCGAGAAAACATTGAAGGGGGCAGCTGAAGCCTCTGCATCCGCAGTCTCGACTGGCGCCGCCTCTGCTGGTGCAGGCTCTACTGGTGCATTCAAAAACACAACCTCCTGCCCGGCACTCTCCGCTGGAGAGTTGTGGGAATCTTGCTCCACCTCCATTGGCGGTTCCGACATGCTCAGTACCTTCCCTCAGGGAAAACCAAGACACGCAAACAAGCAAAATGGCTGCGGACAAACATGCGCACTTCAAGCCTTTTTGAGGTCTTTTGGGCTTTCTAACGCAAAACATGCTTGGCTCTCCGGTTGCTTCGGGGCACTCACTTCCTTTAAGGGCAAGGCGCAAGCCTTCCCTCCCGAAGATCAGAAGCGACAAGCCTCTCACACACAACCCCTTCACCAGACATGTCAGCACAAACATCACATTCCAAACTGCGCACACATGCCGCTGCCAAAAATCATGTTGCTGTCTGACAAAAACATGGCATTTCCTAAAAGAATCAGGCAGTTTCCTAACCAGACTTTCGGAACACAGACTCCTATCCCCACTCAGGACATGCGTTTTTCCCGTACAGATCATGTCATGCGGTTTCCTAACGACGTGTTCTTCAGGAATTTCCAGGGACCTACTCCTAACTTCAGCCCTCAAACCGCGCAACATGAACTCAAACGGCGTTCCCGACAACACGTGGCGGATAGACTTCTCGTCCTTTCCAGGCTTCTCATCACTCTTCGCTTCTTTCGAAGTCTTCTTCAGGATGCTTGGTCCTGCAGTAATGTCTTTCCTGGGTTCCTTGTCAACAGGAAGAGAGTCGATCTCCATGTCCGATCCCTTGGATGGGCGTTTAGGAGCTTTCTGCTTCTTTCCGCTAATCGCCCACCAGGCCCGTTTCGCCCCAACCAGGCGGACATTCTTCTTTCCACCCTTGTAAATGCGAGACCCGGTGCGTCTTCCAGCCCCGTTCCGACGCGGACCACGGAGATACCACATTGAAAGGCACGTCCGCCACAAGGACGTCCTCCAACGTCAACGAAACGTCGCCGAAACGAACTTCCAGATCAACAACATTCGATACGTTTATGATGTCTCCTGAGGCACTATAGAGCGTCACCGTGCGATCATGGTACTTGCAGACACGAAATCCTGACAGATGATCTGCTGAGACGATGTGGCATGTGGCTCCACTATCGACCAGCCACACATCACGATGCTCTACCTGCAGCGAAGCGCAGACGTATGCCGCATCTCCCTTCGAGGTGCTTCCAGTCAGGGTGCCTACCTTCTCATCTGCAGTGACTTTCGGCCCTACAGCGACCGGTCTAGGGACTGCCTCTACGGGCTTAGGCTTCTCAGGCTCAGGCTGGCTCAGTACTTCTCGTACAGCAGAAGGCTTGGCAAACCTCATCGCCATCACGGTGGAGGTCCTCGAAGACTCGGACTCTGCCTCGGACTCTGGTTCTCCCATAGCCCGGGCTCTAGCCTTCTTCTTCTTCTTGCCTTTGCCCTTGCCTTTATCAGGCTTGTCGGGCTTCTGCTCCTTGTCTTTGCCGCCTTTTCCGCCTTTCGGCGTTGGAGAGCGTGGCTTTCCTTTCGGATTCTGCGCTCCCTTGCCATCGCCCTTCTTGCCCTTGTCGCCCTTCTTGCCCTTTTCACCGGCTTCACGCTGACGGCTCCAGCAGTCCTTAGCCAGGTGTCCCTTTCGTCCACAGTGGTCACAAAGCTTGTCACCTTTTCCTGACATCTGCCGACTTGAGGAAAAGGGACCCTCACACAGACGAAACTGCTCCTCATAGTACCGAAGGCTATCGCTCAGCGATGTCCAGTCGTTGCTCTTTCCATGAAGAACGACGTACTGTCTGAGCTCCTGGCTCAGAGCTTGCAGCAAAACACTGCAGCGGTCAGCCTCCGTGAGACGCAACTCTGGAAAGTTCCCAAGCTTGGATTCGGCACGAGAAAACTCGTCCTCCAAGTGACGGATGAGGTCTGTCGGCCGTCGGTGATGCTGGCACGTAGTCGCCAACTTGAGGCACTGCTCCCGCACGTAGACAGCTTCCATGCGAGACACGATGCTGTATTGCTGCGTGATGGTCCTCACAGCCTCGTATCCGCAGGCACTGAGAGACTGCCTTTTCGAGCACGAGCGTAGCAACTCCTGACCTCTTTCCCAACGTGAGAGAGATTGGGTGAGATAGTAAAGCTTCGCACTTCGAGCAGCAACATCATCCGCCAAATCCTTCTGAAGGATCTCATTCTTTTGCTTGACGCAGAGTTGCAACTCTCGAACGAAAGACTCATCTTGAAGAGCAAGATGACAGTGTCTCCAGGTAGGCATGCCATGTCTCGACTTCTCGCATCCTGCCCTTGTTCATGCCTTGATGCTCTAGCATCGGCAGAGATGGAAGGTACTTCTCCGCCCTATTCTGCACCAATGGGCTCCGAACAGAGCTCGAAGACGAGGTAGCTCCTGCAAAAGGCACAGAAGGTGTGCTCGGTGCAGCTGCAAACGGGTCTTCCGTCTTGGCTCTAGCTGCAGCCTCCGCAACCAAACGTGCGGTCTCCGCTGCCTTCTCTTCAGCCTCATTTCGACGCTTCTCTTCCAAATCCATTCTTCTCATGAGGGCAGCTATCAACTGCTGGTTCTGCTGGTTGGCCTGACTTTGCTGCCTTTGCATCTCCAAGAAGATGGCTTGGAAGTTGCCTTCACCAAGGCCATTTCCAGCTTGTACTCCACCCACTTGCTTCCAGAGGCGAAGCATGAGCTTGAGCTGGAGTTGCCGGAGGCGACGCAAAAGGGTTCGCTCCTCCAGCAGGTGCTGTCGGTTGTCCTTGAGACCCAAACAGCAAAGCCTCTTCCTCAGGGCTCACATCAGGTACTGGCACTGTAGACGCGTCCGGAACTTGGGCCATGGCTTTTTTTGGAACGTCTCTTCAGGACGCTCCGCTCCATGTGAAAAGCAGAGCTTTCGCGCAGACTGCTTTTTCCGTTCGCACTTGAGCAAAGGCTTCAAACGACATCTCAACTTTGTTTAGACAAAGGAGAAGACAAAAGTAACATGCAAAACATCTTGGTTACTGGTTCAGGACTTCAGGTCTGTTGCAAAAATGCTCTCAGAATGCCTCAGCGAGTGTCAAACGGTCACGACACGGTACGAACGACGGGGCAAAGCACACGGAGTGAGCAACGGCCAAAGTCTGTTCCTCAGAGCTTTGCTTCAGCACTTCCAGTAACTCTCAGGTCAACTTCCGAGAGCCTCTCTGTGCTTCTCAAAACTCCCATCATAACATGTTAAGTCAAAGCACCTTCATGTCATGCAAACATGCTCATGCCAAAACAAAACATGTTCTTGCCATGTCACAGCACTCATATCCTGCACATGTACCTGCAAGCAACTAGACAAACAAAGAAATGTCATATTCTTTGGATGTGCACGCAAACCTGCAGTGTTCTTTGGCAGTGCGTTTGATCTTCCTTTACCGGAATGTGCGTGAACCTATTTGATGTCGTCTTGGCAGTCTTTTGCCGGGTTGCGGCTGCGCTTTAAACTTTAAAGCAGAAGGCCCTCCGCCGGTTTGCACTCTAAATCGACGGTTGCGGAGTTCCTTGTTGCACGATTGCACTTCAAAGGTTTTAAGCCGCGTGGCTGCTTTGGGGGTTTGTCGTTCCAAAAAAAACCCGTTTCCAGGCTTGCACAGACGTTGCCATCTTGCCGGAATGTGCATGCAAACCTTAAGACCATCTTTGGCGCGTTTGATCTTCTACAAAATAACAGCTTCAAGCTTCTTTTGCCGGGTTGCAAACTTAGGAGCTGCTATTGCGACCAATGTGCTCCAACCATTTGGTTGCGCCTTAAAGCTAAAAGCAAAAGGCCCTCCGCCGGTTCGCATTCCTTCTAAAATTGACGGTTGCTTGAACAACTCTGAGTTCCGTGGCTGCTTTGGGTGGTTTTATCGTTCTTGAAAACTCCGTTTCCTTACTGACGTCCAGCCGCTCATGCGGCCCAGATGGCCGGCTGCAGGTTGGCCGTTCTTGGAACAAGCTGGCTGTTTGTTTTAAACCGGATCCAAGTTTTAGAAATTGCCTTGGTCTGCAATTACGAGCACCTCCCACATAAGCTCTTGCCACGTGCCCGCCTGGCTGATGCCTCTCGCATCCCGCTTGACGGCGGAATACCCTTGCGCATTGGCTCAGTCCCTGGCATCGATCGCCAGTCGATCGTGACCCTCCAATCGGGTTGTTCCTCTGGATGCATGGCGTTCGGTGCTCCTAGCTGGACATAGCCGCGTGTCAGGGTAGAGGATGGTCTTTGTAGCACGGCGGCTGGTTGTCTGGCCTCCGTCTGGATGCAAAAACTCTTCGATTCTGGCTTTTTGCCTGAAGATTTCGGCTGCTCTGCGTGCAAGCTGCGATGCAGCTCTTATCTCCAGTTGAGCTTGCGCCGTTTTTTGGAGGATATCTGCGATTTCCTTGGAGAGATCGCTGTCTTGGAGGTCCCTGAGGGCCAGCCTTTTTGTTTGCACTTGCTGCAACTTCTCCTGGAGCAGTGTCAGGATCCGGAGGCCTGTATCTGCCCGGATCTTGTTTCGGGCGCACGCTTGGAAGTTGACTGTACGCTCGAGCTCTCGGTTCTGGCCCAAGCGGGGAGGCGCATTCCCTTACGGAGCTGGTGATCTGCGACGGATCATGGGAATCCGCTTCTGATCATCCTCAAGAGGTCTTGCAGATGCTTGAGGATGAGTTGGCGGGTTGGATTTCTGAGTACCCTTCGTTGCAGGCATCCAGACCACGTTTCCGCAAGTCGCCTGCGGTAAGCTCGGGTTTGTGCAGGCCGAGGGCCGCTCTGCACGCCTGGTGGTTGATGGTACGATTAGTGGGGTGACTAATTCCTGCCAGATCCGAATCACATGCTTAATCCGCGGTTTTGCAACATCGCTGCTTGCGCTCCTGAGAAAGTTCCATCTGAGCCGTGGGTCGGGGTCTCTCTTGACGTTCGCAAGGCGCGCCGGCGGGTTTTGCTGGCCTGGGCGGGTCGCGCCCTGCTCGCCTTTTCATTCCTGGGGCGTTTCTTTGTCTCCAAGAACTTGAATTTTGGAGCCAGGGCATCGGCGTTCTGGTGGGGTCGAATCGCTGGTATGCTCATGCGTCTGTCGCATGCTGTCATACGGCTCCTTCACTTGTGGGATTATGTCGACGGTTTTTTAGCGGCTTTCCGCTCCTCTACAGCGCCACTCCATGCGAGCCTCTGGCTAATTCTCTTCATGTCGATGGGGGTTCCACTTAGTTGGAACAAGTGCACCTGGGGTGAGTCCATTCGTTGACCAGCTGCGGTCCTTGCTTTCCTGCAAGCGCATTCGGGTGCGTGACCTCGAGTCAGCGTTGGGTCGGTTGCTCTGGCTCTCTGGCCTACTGGTCTGGATGAGGCCTCTTCTCTCACCTGTTTACAGGGTCCTCACCCAGTTACCCTCTACTTCCGTTGCGGTGTCACCAGCGCTCTGGGATCGGCTCTTGTCCGCTTGCGATGACGAGTGCGTGCTCCGGCAGTCAACTGGTCACGCGTCCCTGCCGAAGTCTGCTCGGGTGATCCGCGTAGCCAACACTTTCGTCACTTCCAAGCAGCAGTTACTTGACACTCCATTTCGCAAGCACCGTCTCTGGGTTACCGTACAAGACGCCGATCATCCCTACCGCGTGGTCGATGAGCCGGCTCGCGAGGCAGTCCGTGCGTGGGGAGAGTGCACCCTTGTCCTGCTCCTTGCTGAGACCGTTACCGCTGCTGGTCATTGCTGAAGCTGATGCATTTGCGGATGCGTCCTTGTGCGGCCTTGGCGGGTACATCTCTTGGCCTTCTGGGAGGTGTTCCTGGTTTAGCGTCACCTTGACTTCAGCCGAAGTGGCGCGTCTGTGCGATGTTATGCCTGCACCTCTGCAATCGCACATTGCCGCCTTGGAACTTCTGGCGCAGCTTTGCCTCTTGTGGGTCACTGACGCTGCTCTTCCTGGATGCCGCACGGCCTTAGAGGTGGCGCTGCGCTGCGATAATTCGGCAGCTGAAGCGGCTGCCCACAAAGGGTTGTCTTCCGTTCGATCTCTGGCCTGGGTTCTTCGAAGGTTCTGCGCTTGCGAGCAAGCCTTCAATATTCGAGCTGCTCCGGAACACATCCCGGGTTATCGCAATGCGCTGGCCGATGAGCTGAGCCGCCTCGGCACTTCGACACCTCCTCTGGCGCTTGCAGACCGATGTGCTCCACCGCTTACAGAGCTGCTGCGTGCCCCCACTCAGCTCCGGCTGGGCCCTCCGCCTTCGGCGGCTCGCTGGCCGTCCTACCTCGAGCAGCTAGCTTAGCCTGATCACGCATTCGCTGGTGATTGCAAAATAGTGCAGTGCATCTTCAGACCTGGGAGTCTGTGCATTTTGGTTTCCCGATTTTATTTCCTTCTTTCCTTTGTTCGGGGTCTTCCCCTGGCGGGTCGTGAAACGATTTCTTTGTCGGTGTGCTTTCGACCCCGTTTCGGGTTTGGGTTCGACTTATCGGGTTGCCCGGGACCCCTGTTTCGGGCTGCGTCCGTTGTCGTTCCGTTGCCTTTGCGTCGGCAGCGATTTGGTTTACTCGCCAGTTCGACTCGCAGTGAATAAAAAGGAGAGAGGGATTGATTCTTTCGGAAACCGTTCTTCACTTTATGCTTTTTGGATATTCGATGATTGATTGATGAATATCTGTTCTTATTCTTGTATTGGGAATCGAGCATGAACGTATACGGACAGTAGGGGTGCAAACGGACACGGTTTTTAACCAGGGTGTTTGCCCCCCCCGCCCTGCCCGGCCGGCATGCACAGCTTTGATTTCCTCTTGAGAATTTTCGTAATTGCTTGTCATGAAGACTTTCTCTTGAGGATTTCTGTTTTGCTTGGCATGTTTTCCATTGTTTGTGGTCCGGCAGTTTCTTGCTCGATTCGCTACCAGGAGGTCTCGACCTCGCATTTTTGTCTTACCCACCACCATCCCCCTTGCACCTGCCTTGGCGGTTGTGTGTGTGTGTGTGCTTAATCGGTGTGCTTTCGACCCCGTTTCGGGTTTGGGTTCGACTTATCGGGTTGCCCGGGACCGCTGTTTCGGGCTGCGTCCGTTGTCGTTCCCCGTTGCCTTTGGGTCGGCACCGATTTGGTTTACTCGCCAGTTCGACTCGCAGTGAATAAAAAGGAGAGAGGGATTGATTCTTTCGGGAAACCGTTCTTCACTTTATGCTTTTTGGATATTCGATGATTGATTGATGAATATCTGTTCTTATTCTTGTATTGGGAATCGAGCATGAACGTATACGGACAGTAGGGGTGCAAACTGTCAGGAAAGAAAGGCATGAGAAAGAGTTGAAGAAGCTCTTGCTGCGCGAAGTAAAGACCACACGGCACTGCACGACCACAGAAGTGCACTGCAAGTTCGTTCCCTCAAAAAGCAGAGAGAAGTTGGGGAATTGTACTTCTGCGTCTATGACGCTCTGAAGGAAGGTGCCAGGGCTGGCTCCTTTGCGCTCAATGTTGACTTCTTCAATGACTGCCAAACGGGATAGAGCAGTTGCAGTACTGCAGGCCTGTGAAGTGCTGAGCATCGCGATGGCAAGTAAGCCAAGCCCAAGGCGCTAACAGCCCTGCTGACTCGATCGTGGCAAGTAACGTCAGCACTCTCAGGATGCTCGACGTCCCGCTTTGGCTTCGACCGACGTTCCGGGTGGCTTTCACGGCAAGCTGTATGGACCTTTTTTCGTCCTCGTAGCTAACCAGGTCCTCTCCTACGGCCTTGCCGCCATTGACCCTTTCCTGTGTATCCAGTACACCCAGGCCAACACGAATCTCCACCTACTTCGACAATGCTGAAGGCACCTCCCACACCTCGCAATCGATGCAATGCCAAACCTCCCCATTGGGTGAGGTGTGCGACCAAATAAAACCTCCTTTCGGGCGAGGTGCCTGTACAGTACTGAGTGGCCTGTAACATATGATTGCAGTACCCATGCTGCCAGCCAACAAATCCTCCTGAGGTGCCTGTATGTTCCTCTGAGGAACTTGTATGAGATTAGCAACGGATGTGGCAGTTTCATGCTGCAAGCTTTCTTTGCCCGTCCTTCCTTTGGCCGACGCGAGGCAAGGCCCGTGACTGTTTCACACAGACTTGGACCTTCGCTGCGTTCAGAGAGAGAGAGACACTAGCCTGAGAAGTTTTCGTTAAGACTGTGTCGGTAACCCAAGTTGGGTTTAGACAAACTTCTGCATGGGCAGTGTCTGCTCAGAAGCTTTGTAGCTTAGAGAGCCAATTCTTTCTTGCCCGCCCACCACTCCCTTTATGGTCAGTAACCTTCACTTGCAGTGAGCGTGAGAGCTCCAGTCTCACACAGGCGACTTAGTAAGTCGTCCTGTTCACAAAGTTTCAGCCGTAGTTAGCTAGCAAGTAGCTCCCACAGGGGGTCTTTTCGTCGTATGACGAACACCTCAAAAGTGAGCTCAGTAGTTGTGCCAGTGGCGCCAACTGGACGCAGTCTGAATCTACCCCCACGCTTCCGGTAACAAAAGAGAGGAGTGCCTGCGCTTTTGTTTGTAGGATTGGGCTCTCGTATAGCGATGAACGGAGTTACATGCGAGTGGAAGGCCTTGTTCGAGTCCGGTGTGTGCTTTGGCAGGTCCCAGTCTACAGCACCATCGAAGTCACATTGCCGCTCACTGTGGACGATGCGGCTGCGATCCTCAACAATGTTACCGTGCAGGATGCCATGAAGCAAGGCTTCGCAACGGCGATGGAAGTGCCCGTGGAGGATGTGACACTGGAGATTCGGCAAGTTCGGCGGCTGAGTGCTCACACGAGGAAGCTTCAGACTCAGCTGTTGGCCATCTTCTCAGTGGCCATGCCCGGCATCGAGGACGCCATCGCGAAGCAGGCGGAGATCGAGGCCGTTTCCTTGGAAGCCACCAACCAGGCCATTGCCAGTGCGGTCGCGAGCGTGGGCTTCTCTGGTGCCTTGGAGGTTACCGGCAAGACGTCCGCGAGAGTTGCGGTTTCGACCACGACGCCGACCACGACATCGACCACGACGGTTTCAAATGTCTCAACCACCGAAACCGATGTCTCAACCACCGAAACCGACGAGACGCCGCCCGGTGAGGAGCTCAGCAAAGGTGGACTGGCCGTTGCTTCGCTGATGATCGTGACGGTCTGTTCATTGTTGGCAATTGGATGACCTTGGTATCCCTGGCCAATGTGCCAGAAGACCAGAGTGTCATACATTTTTCGAGGCTTTCGATTGGGTTGTTGCCTGTCAGGGAACTCAGCCTAAAGCTACGATGAGAATTAGGGATGTATGGTAGCTAATATGGAAACAGGTAGTGGCAATGACCCAGCGAAAGCCCATCTTCTTCGAAGAATTTCAACTTGTCCAAGTGTGGATCGAAGAATTTCAACTTGTCCAAGTGTGGATCGCAGAAATTCCTGCGGAAACCCCCAATGCCCCGCTTCGTAATCCAGCTCTTGGGAAAAATTGTGAGCTACATGCAGTAGCGTCACGAGCATCAGACGAGAAGGCCGCTTGCATCATGTCATCATCGAACACAGAATTAGAGCACACGATCCACTTGCAGGGTACCCGGTCAAAACTTATGTGCACAGTCACATCCGGAAACCCTTTGATAGCTTCATATTGGTTAGGCCAACGCCGCGAACTAACCCATTATATCTGCTAGTTGTATCTGACGTTTCTGTGAATATTTTGACGTGTATATCTGGAGATCTGGGCTTTGTGTGCTCCTTCTCACTCTGGGGGGTTCTTGAGGCTTAGTAACTTAGGGGGGGGAGTCCTAGGGGCTGCATGCACTTCCAGGGCCTGGGCGGGTGAAAGTCAGGATCTAGGGTTTTATAACAAGGTTTAGGGTTTGGGCATTATGGTTTAGGATTTAGGGCTTCGGGTTTAGGGTACGTAGAGGATTTGGGATTTAAGGTTACGTGTCTAGGCAAGGGTGTAGGGCAAAGGGTAAGATTGAGCTAGAGAATTCAGGAGCATCTTCTACTTTTTGCAGAGCGCACAGTCGAAGTAGCCTAGCAGACCTAACAGCTTTCGCGCGTGCGTGTCTGTTTCTTGATGGTGATGACCACCTTGTTGAACTCCTCGTCCAGCCACGTGGGGTTGTAGGTAAAGGTGACAAAAAGGGTGGAATTCGGGTCTCAGCCTCCAAAGTCTCCTCCGATTTCTGAGGGCATCTGCTGCCAGCTGAGCCGTCGGCAGCCACAGACTGGAATTCAGGAAAGATTTATTTTATCGTTTAGTTATCATTTCTGGTATCATCCCCCCAATCATCTGGAAGAACATTTAAACATTCATTTATCATCTCACTTTTTGTCAGCAGGCCTAGATACATGTGGATATGGCACCCAGGCTGCGCCGCCGCTGCCGCGCCTGCCCACTTGGGCTCGTCCGCTCCGCCGTCGTCGCGTGCGCCCGGTGGTAAAGAAATCCCCCAGAACGATGCAACGGACGATGGGCCTGGGGAGGAGGATAAAAAATGATAGGGAGACGATAGGCCTGTGGAAGAGAATAAAAAGACGATAAGGCAGACGATAAAAAAACAAACAAACAGAAAATGATTCAAAAATGATAAAATGCCGAGGACTCCTGCAAATTCCTGGATTTCCAGGATTTCCATGCAGCTCCCGACCAGATCCCGACCACGCAGTTACGGTCTCCCAAGAATCATAAATTTTTTACCTCTTCCACATGCTGCTGGGAGGATCTATCATTGCTTCTATCTTCGGGCGCTGGGCCTGGCAACCATCCCGACCCGATCCCGATCTTTCCTGCTCCGAGGTTCCCCCCCCCCCCCCCCCCCCCCCCATTCCCGACCCTCAACGCCGCCAGGCCCCAGACCTGAGCCCTCAGGCATCGGCTCGGGCTTTCTGCGTTACATTCGGGCATATAAGTGACGCCTGAAGTGGTGGCCTGCATAGCTGGGTAAGGCGACTTTGGGCCCACAATGCGGCCATAATGCAATGATAACCAATAGGTACAAAGAATGATAGTTGCAATGATGATGAGCATACGACCGCAGGGAAGACGACAAAGGTAATGAGAAAATGATACATAAATGAAAGAAAAATAATAGATTTCAACATGCACAGTCTGTCCATGCAAGATTGTCATAAGGCTAGTACACAAGCGATCTACGCTTTTGGCTTGCGAAAATCTCGGTTCCTGATTTCTGCCAGCAGCCATCGATTCAAACGTGTCAAGCCCTTTCGAGCGAAGTTCTGGATACCCCTTTCCAAAGCTCAAGTTGGCCATAGGGAGCTTGCGGAATCCCAGTGTGTACTTGTTCTCGGCAACAAATGCCAAGAGACTCAGCGTGGCAGATCACAGTCGCTGTGCTTGCGTGCGGCCATCGAACAAGCCCACATTTTTGCAACAGGACTCGCCATGCAATGCCAAGGTCAAACTTGAAACCTGCTGCAGATTTTCCTAGGACTGTCGCCGAATGACAGGTTCAAGTCGGTTCAAGCTTTCCTTGTTGTACGTACATGGGACCAAGCAAGCAGCACCACAAGCGAGCACAAGCAGGAGGCGACGACAGCAAGCAGCAGGAGTCATCGCAGATTGGAACACCCTGCTAGGGTTGGTTGTCGCTACCTCATTGACTCATCCGGCACTGGTCTCAGAGTTTTCTCTCGAAGAGCGTCCTTGCTTCCAGGGTCCTCGTACCTTCCTAGGCCTTGCCCCAGGTCCGTGCTGTGTCCTGGCCCCAGGTCGACCCCGCTGTTTGCTTATCCACCCTGCTTCAGCGTCGTCGTCAAGGCCTGCGGTTTTCTCATTTTTCTCGGATGCCTTTTCTCCTCTTCCTGACCGTCCTGACCCCCTAGCCCCAGTGCAGGCTTGTTGCAGTGCTGGCTGTGCTGGCCCTTTGGCAGGCCAGTTGATCTTTGCCCCTTTGCCCGAGCCTCGATCCGGGGATGTGTCGGTCTAGCCCCAAGGTGGCGTTTCTGACCGCATGAGTAAACGTCGTCTGCACGAATTCTCGTAAGGACTCAAGGGCAGCCGAAGGTTGTACGGCATAGGGTGGGATGGTTGGGTGGGATGGTTGGGTGGGATGGTTGTGGGATGGTCGGCTGCTGTTGATGTTGTTGGCTCTGCCTTGTGCGGACGTGGAACACATTGAAGACATTGTGTTCCTTGTTCCCATCGTCGTTTTGCCACGTGGAATTTGGACTCTTGAGGTGACGAGTGGTCAAAAGCTATTCGATGATGCGATGCGGAAGTGGACACTGCAAAAGTCTCATCACGACTATGAGAGGCAGAGTGGCGACAACTCGCTGCGCCATGCTGGGCTGGGGCTGGGACGCGATCGATGCGCCGTCTTGTTGGACAGGCGCCTCCGTCAGATGGGAATCCAAATGAATCTTCCAGGAGGTTTTCCGCAGGTGCCGTGCTCAGATTCCGGTCGTAGCCTTTAGTCTTGTGTACTCGTAGAGTGAAAAGCCGACAAGGCATGGAAGCTACATGAAGCCATGGACATGAGTCGAATCGAATATCGAAGGTTCGAACAGCAGATCCTGGCCCACAGCCGCAGCTCTCGGCTTTCAAGGCGCAAGCCAGTTTCTAAGTTGTGGAGTGCTGACTCTTTCTAATGTAGTGTATGCTTTTTTGAGCCAAGAAGTCAGATCTCCGATAAGTAGTGCAACTGTAGTGCTCAAAACGGCAAAGAGGGTCGCGGCACTGTGGGCCATGCTTGGCAATCCAACATGACAAGTAACGGGCTGTAAGGCATTCAAGCTTTCCTTCATCTCCCATTGGCATGCCGTGTGACAGCTGCAGGACAAAGTGGAGACCAAGCCCTTCAGCAGCAGCTGAAGCTGTTCGAAGCAAATGCTGCTTTGGCATCGGGCATGGCAGATCGTTTTGGCCCGAGTCCGACCAAGGCGATGTGAAGGCACGTCTGAGCGTTTCTCCCGGCGGCATGACGGCCTGCTCCAGCGCACGAAGGAGTTGCTGGAACGGGGCCAGGACTGTCAAGGTGGTTGCCCCCTGCTCTTCTCCTTTGTTGACTCTGTTTGGTGCTTCGAAGAGACAGGACTTAAGCGAGCTTACCGCTCCGCCCCTTGAGATCTTCTTCTGGCACCGCCTGTGCCTCAGGGCCTCAACTTTCCGTGGGCTTTCATGAGAATGATGTTATGAAGTTTTTGTGAATCGTATTTCTGTCATCGGTATTGTTGTAGTGAGTACTATACTGATGGACATTTGGCCAGGCTTGGTGGTCGACGAGCTCCATGAGCCGCTTCGGGTGCCGGACGCATCGAAGAGTTGATGTGGGATGATGTGGGATGATGTGGGATGATGTGGGATGATGTGGGATGATGTGGGATGATGTGGGATGGTATGGGGCTTTCGAGGGGTTGTTCTACACGCTACAGCAAGTAGAGGTCCCCCCATGGATGCGTTTTAGAATGTGTCCCTTGAAGGTCCAGAAAGTGTTCCAAGAGAGAGGGATGTTGGGGAGGGACCAGTGGGCCACGGCCGGGAACAGACAAGCCCCCTATGGTAGAAGGCCTGCTTTCGCAATTCTAGGGTCGTTTCTGCATGGCTGCCTCGACTTTACTCGTAGCTGAGCGGCGGCATAAACCCCCCATGGCAGAAGGAAGCAATGAGTTCGGATTTGATTGGCACTTGAATCATCATTGGCACTTCAGTTGCGGTCTGGGGCTAGAGTGCGATAGCTTCTGTGAGAGGGTTGCAGTGTGGGATGGCCCGCGTCAGCTCGTGACGAGAGCTGCAAAGGTCGCGAGCGAGGTTGCAGGAGAACCCATAATGTTGTAACCAGACGTTCGGTTTTGTTCACAGCTCAGCTGCGTAGCTTCTGCTATGCATGCTTCCGCGCATTGTGCATGTTTGATCACGCTTGATCCTTCGCTTCCGCCTTGGTTGGCATGTGGCAGTTACCTGGGTCGCCGGTCGGGTTTCTGAGAGAACGGCGGAGAGGGGGAGGATGCAGGTCCGTTTCCCCTTAAGTGTGGACAGAAGAATTGCACTGGTTCGTCACAGGTGCTGCGGGATGCCGCTGGCTTGCGACTGGAAGGACCAGGCCAGGGTATGACTTGGCGGGCCCTATCTGGCGACTCGAGGAGTCTGCTTCTTGTCAGTTGAAACAGGTCCCCTTTTCTTTGCACCATCCATGCGACATCTTCCTTCTACGCCAGTTTGACCTCAAGGCTCGAACCCTCTAAACACGACATGCGAAGCATCTTTCTCTCTTTTGATGGGGCTGGAGGTCCGCATAAGCCTTGAAAGCCCTTAGCCTTATCCTCAAGACGTTCATCTCGAGAACGAGCTTCAGATTTCCAAGGTTGGGATTCAATTCCAGGGTTCCTTGTGAGGCTTCGCTCAGCATTGAAGAAGCAAACCCTCTGCACCCGGCATACGCAGAAGCAGTGAAACGGTATCTTGTTCCACAAAGTTCTTGTGGTAGTGCCTTCGAATGCGCAGGGCTTGGGGGAGTGGAAGCCCTTGTCAGAGTCTGAGGTCTGCCTAGGATTTCAATTCTTATAGGGCCGGGGCTTCGACTCTCAAACTGCCTGGGCCTTAGGCCAGAGTTGCGTGCAGCTGCTGTTTCCCACGAGGTCTGTGCTCCCCACATCCCAAAGTAACCCTAACCTCGCGCGTTGACCCACAGTGGTCTTCTGGAAGCACGACCCCCTAAGCCCAAGTGGGTGAACATGCGGAGTCTCAGTCTGGCAGGGAAGGCCAAAGCCCACAGAATTCAACTGGGATGTTTCAATCAGGTCGGTCTTGCATGGGCGTAGGCCACCCTAGCGACGTTCCCCGGTTGACTTCTCTAAGCTCACGGCCCTGCACAGTTGTAGGGTGACCCCTATCTCGAATCGAAAGGCCTCCTTCTTGTGGTTTAGCCTCTCCCTTGCCAGAGACATCGGCACATATCTTGAAGGCCTATCAAACCGCAGAGCACGAAAAGTCCCTGGGCTTCGACTCGCACACTCGCACAGGCTTAGGTTGTAGTTGTAGGGTATACTGGCGCCTCCAGCCCAGTACTAAGACCCGGAGACGTTGAGGCAAGTCGCTGGAATCGAGAACTTGACCTGGATCAGCTACGATTTGCTGTGGATCTCAGGTCCAATTGATAGGCTTACATCTGGCGGTTGCTCTTCCTCCCCTCCCCTTTTGCATCTTGGGCAATTAGCCTGACAAGCTACTTTGGATGTAAGCTGCTTTCCTGCGGCAGCATAAAGCATCTCGAAGCCATCGATCATAAGGTGCACTGGCTGTAGGGTTTAGGGTTTGGGGTTCGATGCTGCGGGTGTGAGACAGGAACGCACCCAAAACTGCAAAGAGTCGAGCAACGTAGCCAAACGATGCCAAACTGCGGATGTCTACACGACGACCTAATAAAACTCTAGAACTTGTTGGGCCGGATACCAGAAGCCCCGTGGATTCAGAAACTGCGGTTCAGAAACTACTTGCACGGATTCGGAAACTACTCCGTCGGATTCAGAATCCTTTTCTTTCAAGCCTCTCGTGGGCCAAATCCACTCCAAGCCCTTTGGGGGGGGAGGGGGTGTGGGAACGTCCGGAACACGCGAATCCTTTTAGGCCTCTCCAAGTTCCTCCAGCCTTCCACGGCCATTGCCCCTCCAACCAGCCTTAGGCCCTGCCAACCTGCCCTCAACCTTCCAGGGTCCTCCCAAGCAGAGAGCAGCGCTTCCAGCCCGCGCCTTGTCCCTCAGGGCATTCAGGGCCTCCTCCAGAGGTCCTTAGGTCCTCCCTTTCAGCCTCGAAGCAGAGGGGCTTGATATTTGGAGTTTGGGAGTCTGGTGATGCTGTCTTCGTACTGCTCTTGGCTTTTGTAATGCTCCTGAAGCAAACAACCTTGCTTTCGTTCAATGCTAGCTAGAAATTTCCCTCGTATCTAGTGAACCCTAACCTCCCATAGTTTTACATTTCCATGTCTGTTTCTTGAAGAGGGGGGCCCGTGGAAGGGGGTAGGGGTAGGATTTTGGCTCAGCCTGGGCTCCCGAAGCCCAGGCCTGTGTTTTGCCGTGTCTGTGCGTTTTTGCGTAGGGAGCTCTACTGTAGAGAGCGTAGGGAGATCTGCTGTGAGAGAAGACAAGTAGAAATCCCTGAGTCCGGGTGTGGGGGGGTGTGGGGGTGGGGTGGGGGTGGGGTGTGGGGGGGTGTGGGGGGGTGTGGGGGTATGGGGGGGTATGGGGGGGTGTGGGGTGGAAGGCTGGAGAGAGGCCAGAGCTGGGAGGGGTCAAGGGAGGGGCCCGAAGAGAACGAAGGCTGAGAGGGGGGGCCTGAAGGCTCCGGGCCTGAGGCTGAAGGGGCGCCCTGGCCGGTCCTGTGGCCGTACTCAGGATCCGATGCCTCGTTCCCGTTCCCAGTTTCTGAATCCGTTTTTTCAGCTTCCGATTCATGGTTTCCGACCCCACGTTTTTCAGTTTCCGACTCCGCACTTTCCAGTTCCCGAATCCGCGCTTTTGTTTCCGAGTCCGCATTCCTATGATTCCCGAATCCACGCTTCGGGTTTCCGAATCCCGATTTCCCAATCCGCGCGTCCAGTTTCCGAATCCTGTTTTTTCGGTTTCCGACTCCGCGTTTGCAGTTTCCGAATCTTGGTTTTTCGGTTTCCGAATCCTGGTTTCCGAATCCGCGCTCTCCAGTTCCCGAATTCGCGCGCCCAGTTTCCGAATCAATTTTCTAGTTTCCGAATCCGTGCGCGACGGGTGTTTGCAGTCGGGCCTTGCCAGAACGCAGCATCTGACTTGCGCAGGTGCCTTGGCTTTCAGCAGAGCTGCGCTACGACCTGTCCAGCTCCTGCCGATGCGGGGAGCAAACGGCACCGTTTGCTTGGTGTGCTCAGAACCACATAAGCCAGTGTAATGTGCAACATTCGGCCGGCGTGGGGCTTTGCCCAAGGTACGTGGGTCGCAACGAACTAGTTGTGGCCGGCTGTCTTGGCCCGCGGCGTGCAGGTCGAAGCTAGTTGCCGACCGGCTTTGCTTGCGGCGTGCGGGTGGAAACGAGTTGTGGTCGGGTCGAAACTGTGGGTGCCTGGTGAGGCCGCAATTTACGAATGGTGGCCCCGTCCAGCCCTCAAGGTGTTGGCGAAGGCTCCAGCGACAAAGAGCTTAAATTCAAAAGATCGTCTTCCTTATCTTCCTTGTTGTGATATCGTAAAGAAGTTTTCCCTGGCTTACCTGAAACGACGGGTTTTGCGGATCCCCCCTGCCTGTGGGGCAAGCTTTGACAGGACCGATCCCAAAAGCTGTGCCTGCAATAGCACTGCGCAGTGCGAAAGAAGGACCAACATGAAAGGCACTGGAGAATGTTGAGCCATTCCAGCGATTCGAAGCAGAAAAGTCTGGGGCTCAAAAGCCTGGGGCTCACGCTGAGCCACAATGCCTTTGACGTCGGTCTGGCAAAGGCCCGCGGCTACGAGGCCGGCTGTGCATGCTGTTCCTGAAGAAGCAGGCTCGATTGCGGCCGCCTTGCCCTGCTTGAGATAAGTCTTTAGGCCGTGATCCGCTGGGATTTGGAGCGCCCTTGGCTACCTGCGTCACCTCTGCCAAAGGAGCTGGACGCGCCTGTGCAGGTGTTTGCCGGAGGTGGACTGGCTACCAGGCCTCTGGAGCAGGCATTTTATTGCTGACTCTGCTCCGTCTCCCTAATCGGCTTCTTCTGATGGTGACATCTCTTTCCACAGCCGTGGCGAGTGTGCCACTGCGCCACCACACAGGAACACGCAACCCCGAGAGTCCCAACAGTCTCCAGACTCTCGACGATCTGGGCTAGCTGCTCTGGCTCTTTGAGTTGAGGGCGCCATTTCATATGTGCTTGGCCCGAGGGTGCTGAGCTGCCAGGGCTTGGAAAACCGCAGCCTCTTGGGGAGCTGGCTGCCCTGATGCCTTGCATTGCCTCGCTGAGACGTCGTTGGGTCCAGCCGACGACTCCTACAGACCGAAATGATGCTGCAGGAGGTGGGAGATCACTAAAATGCAGCCAGTTCTCCCGTGCCGTTGCCGGGAAGTGCAAGCCATCGAGCTGAGGGCACCACTTTCCGTCACTGCCAGCCGCGGGCTTTTGAAACTGGTACCCTCATTTGAGTGTGCGAAAATGGCAAATCACTGTTGCGCAGGCGGTGCAATGTCTAGTGGTCACATCGCCATGGGCTTTAGCAACACCAGCATCATTGCACGGGCACCTGATCCGCCGCATACCATTGCGAGCGATACTCCGCAAAGTCCGCAGCAATGTCGACATGTAGCGTGTTGTGGTTCAAGGAGCACCAGCATGTTTCCACGAGCTGGTGCTTGAGGAGCGAAACCTCGGTGGCTGAGCTTGCACTACATCCCCTGGGTGCACGAGTCATGCTCCAGCTCTTCACCAATCTTCTTGCTGTACTTGACCTTGCTTTGCGTGCGCAGTTCACGTTTCAACCCTCTGAGGAAGCAGCATGTTTCCGTTGCTCTGCAGACACCTCCTGAGCGCAACACAGGTCGGAACGGCCTATGGCATAGGGCTTTGCGAAAGTGTGCAAAGCGGTCCCTGAGAAACCAGCTGTCTGCAATTGGCGCGTCTGCTCTTCGAGCCTCAAGAGTCACAGTCTAACTTAGTCCAACAACACGTTTGAAAACCAGGTTGGCAAGATAGTTGTGATCGCATTACAAAGGATGGCAGGGTATCCGGTGCAAGGCCAAGCTGGGCCAAGCCCTCTGGCACTCTTTCATGTCGGCCCTCACATTGTACATGCCTGTGTGAATGCGTTCGACCATATCACCAAGGTAGGGCTGATTTTTTGGTCTTATTAGACGAACCACGGGCGCAGAAGCTGCAACAGCGGGTCTCAAAAACAAGTGGCTCTGCGATTGGGCGGACCGCGGCTGACGCTGCACTTTCTGCACTTCCTCATTTGCCGACATGTCCATGCGGATCTGAAGCTTCGAGCATGATCATAGGAGCTGCAACATGGCCATTGGCTCTTGTTTAAAGAATTTTCTGAGACCGGCGCACCTTGCCGTGGCATGCCCCCCAGCAGCTTGCCGCCTTTCTTCAGGATGTCGTTGTCCGTACTCACTGCGTTGGGCCTCATGGCCCAAACCGTGGTGGGGAAGATGGCCGTCGTCAGAACATTCGCCACCAGCGACGAGATTGGTCACCTCACAAAGGCCAACACGGATTGGGATGCTACAATGCCATGTGCCGACCCGGGCACGACAAGCCAGATCGACCTGATCTTGGTGTACAGCAAGGACATTGGCATGCACCTACCAGCGAAAGCTGCAGTTGAGGCATACGAAGCCAGCTTTGCCCAGGGCAAGAGCTGGACCGGATGCTTCGCAGGCATCAAGAACATGTCTGCAAGGCTGGTGGAAGAGGAGGACCAGTACGATGAGCAAGGCTATGCCATGAACAAGCACTGGGTGACAGGCCCCAACATGGTCTTCATGCGCAGCATGGAAGCCTTCTATACCGGTGACTTCGTGGGCGAGTACAGCACCATCTTTTGGATGGAAATTGATGCGGTGCCAGTGATGTCTAACTGGCTAGACAAGTTTCAGGAGGAGGCTGCGGAGATGCCTGCAAGGAATCTAGGCGTGAAAACCGTTTTTGCAGTTCAGCCTGTAGCAACTGAGCAAGGAGCATGGCTGATTCATCTTCTGCTCCTCCTCCTCTTTCTCGTGTTTTTCCCCTCCTTCTTCTGCTCTTTCCTGCTTCTTCTTGCGAGGAACATGGCCATCCGTGGGAGCCTCTACTTCGGGTCAAATTGGCAATCCTTCGCGCACATGATGCCGGACTACATCCTGAAACATATCAACGGCAACTGGGCCATGTTGAAGCCTTTAACGCTTTCCTTCGATTTTCTTAAGTGAGTCCTTGTGGGGTGAGTCCTCGATTTGGAGTCTTGCGTTTCGAGACCCTAGCTGTTGCTTCCGCATGAGCCACAACAACTTTGGCTACTTGGCTGAAAAAGGGTTACCGCCGTTGCCGCCGACCACGCATAGGGCCTGTGGCACGCTGCACCAGGGATAGCTCGTGAGGGGTCATGTGTGCTCGGACAGCTGTGCTGTGTTCAGGAAGCACCTGCAGTCATTCTAATTGCTTTCTTGTGAGGGGGGCGGGCAGCGGGGCACCCGCACTGTTTCGACGCGAACATGCAAGAAAACCTTTTCTGGGTGGTTTTGGTTGGTTGAAGTTGAAGGGGGGCGGGGAAGGATTCTCGACATTTCTCGACCGCAGTTTGGGCAAATGGGCGCCACATGCCCGCCCTTGCTAGAAGGAAATGCGAGGGCCAGGCTTCTCTGAGCAAGCCCCCCCCTTAAGTGGATGGATTTAAGTACCTGATTCAGGTTCTGAATCACCCAACCGAACGGGATCCTTGCTACGAGCGCCAGCTCCGAGGCAACGCAATTTACAACCTCGACCATCCGTGGTCGAAGTTCCTTTTCGACCTCATCAAAGATTCGGTGAACAGCGAGGCAGGAGATTTTTAACATCACAAGCTCTAGGTTCTGGGATGCTGCGCGAGTTTCTGAGGCAGCGATAGGGAAGTGCACAGGCGATGGAGCAGATGGCTTTTGACACAGCCTATGCTGCGATCAGCGTGGCCGCGATGACGGGCTCCAACACCATGCTGGCCCAGGAATCTCGAACCAACACATCTCAAAGCCCTGAGCCCCCAAGCTCTCCTCACAAGTCCCCTCCGCAAGCCGGGTTTCGTTTGATGGTTTGATGAGTGCAATTATGTCTTTCTTGGGATTTGGCATGGCTGTACGTATGCATGTAGGTATGTATGCGGGTAGGCACACACGCACACAGATATGATATGATATATATATATATATGTACACACATGCACATACACATATGCATAGGCATAGGCATCGGCATAGGCATAGGCAGAGGCATCGGCATAGGCATAGGCATAGGCAATGTGTATATGTAAACATGCCCACAGAGAGGTAGGCATGTGGGTAGATAGGTCGAAGATATGTAGATAGGTACATGATGGGCGTCAGAATTAAGAGCCATGGCACACACATCCTTGCGTCAGATTGACAGAGGCCTGGGCAGCTCTGAACTGCAGCTCCACAACGTACAGCTCAGAGACCCTGAGCCTCATTGAGTGTCGCTCTTGTTTCACTTGTATAACACTTGTATAAACATAGAAGGGCTGCGCGTAGCATGGGGAATCATGCGTTCGATGCTGAAGCACTTCGTAATAGGATCCTGTATGCCACAGGACCCAGCTTGTGCGGAACTATGCCAACACCTTGCTCAACAAGAGCCATGATGTTGGTGCCTACATTCGCCATGGCTCCATAAACAATATCTTCGACAGCCTCTCAGGTGAGGAAGTCACCTTGGGGATTGCTGCTCTCAGCGAAGAGGATGACCATTTCATGAGCAGCATCGGGACCAACCACCCCTTCAAGAAGATCTTGATGCTGACCTACGACTCCACCACAGGGAACCGGACCATCCCGGCCCCCGGCGGCGACGTGATGCTGAGCATCGAGGCGTCGGAGCAAGGCCCCATGATGCACCTCTGCGAGGTGGCAGCGAAAGTCAGCACACCGTGGTTTGCGCTCGCAACGAACTATCACATCATCAATGCCCCCGTGAGCCTGCTGATGCACATGGGCCAGCCGGTCATACCGTACCTTCTGGCCAGCTCTTCCTACTGCACGGCACGTCCTGATTGCAACTTGGCTATTTTTGGTTGTCCTTCAAGTAGCTTTTTGGCGGGCGGATTCCCTCGTTCCACTGTCGGCTGACAGGCTGGCAGCGCCAGACATTGACCCCAGGCAAGATACCTCAACTTGAAGGCTTAGTGGAATTTCCAGCTATCATCAGAAGAAGAAAACCACAGGGGGGCACTTGGTCTAGGTGTGCTATGCGAAGGTTCCAGCCGCTTGTCGTGTGCCATGCCAGGATCCTGTTTCAATGATTTCAATGATTTTCAATGCTGATGTTTGCGAGGAAGTCGGTTTTTAAGGCCAGAACATTCAAGAGCAGCGTGTGGTTGTTGCGTGGCAATGCCCCCCGGCAAGGTTTTTAACACAAGGGCGGTCTTAACATAGGGTTCTTTGTGCTCGACCACAATTCGAGCATGAGGAACAATTTCACCCGCAGCACGTGCGTCATATGAACCAAGTTGGTTCATGTCGGATGGAAAAAAATTCACCTTTGCAAAGAACTCCGACCAAACGATCAAGACGATGCAGGATGCAGTGTCTCTTATGTTGCAGATTCTCCAGATTCCGTCCCCGGATGGGGATTAAGTTGCCCCAGACCCTACATGCACTTTGTCCGTCCATTCGATCCAGAATAGTGAACTCTTCCCGCAAACATCCTCCACCGCAAACATCCGCATTCCAAAGGGAGCCCTAACGACCACCTTGAGACGGTCAGGAGTGGCTGGGGTTTGGTGTTGGAATTCATGCTTGACCTGCTCATGCTGCCGCCAACAAGCTTCGTATCCCTGATGGGATCCCAGTTCTTCCGCCCAAAATCCCCGGCAATGTGCATACTTCTCACTTCGAAGAGGATACACAATTTCTAGGAACAGCCATGCTGAGGTTTGGTTCGTAACTTTTTCGAGGAGTGCAGAAGTCAGCCAAGGTAAGGCAGCTCTGGATCAGGCTGAAGAACTCTTTGGCGTCAAGCTGAACTACCACCACGACGTCACCGAGGACGGCCATGTTCATAGAGCCTACTACTCTCCCCGGGCCAAAATACGGTAAGCAATATTTGGTCCTTGCTAGGGCGTGGGAGGTGAATGGTTCTGGGCAGTATTGGGTTCCAGAGGCTGCAGTTCTTCTCTCCCTTTGGCCCCGCTGGCAGCCGGTTGATCGTGGGGGGGGGGGCCGTCAGACGGGGCTGCTACACGCAGAGTCACGCACTTTGCCATTTGCCAGAGCCTCTTTAAACTTTTCCACCCACAATAAGAACCCTACCGGACGGTCTGCTGCCTAGTTGAGACATGAGCATAGATAGCTCGTCTGAATTCTGCTGGCTAGTCTCACACGTCCCGAGCATGGTGGAAGAGCTCCATCACGTGAAGACCGCGGCTTCCAAGAGCCTTGTCTCGTCCCTGCATTATCCTGCATTGTTCCGACCCAGCTCGCCACGACCAGCTTGCCCTGACCGCTGGCAGGTCCTCTTCAACACCACGGAGACCGAGTCCTTCTGCGCAGCCTGGACCGTGGCTGCCGCCAACAAGTCGCTGGAAGACTGCCAGCTGGCCTCGGGTCCTTCGGCAGATGATTTCGTGGCCTGGAAGATCAGCATGGGCATGAACATCACCAGCGCGCCCAGGGAGAGGACGCGCTACGGTGGCTGGGCCCTTGTTGGACCGCAACTTCTGTGTTCAGTAAGATTTTAGCTGGAAGCCTTGAAGATAGGACAGCGGGTAGTTTTCGACTGTCCGAAATCAATGCAAGCTAGGCTTGAGTTCAGACTTGCTTTAGCAGTAGCCTTGACCACGTCTGAAAAGCAACGAATTATTGAGATCACAAGATTCACAAGCTTGAGTCGACTTTGATTGGTTCAAAGGAACAAGAGACATCATCATCACCCTCTTCACCATCACCATGGACAATGCTTTATCACCATCGTCATAACTATTCTTCTTATTATTCTTCTTATTCTTCTTATTCTTCTTATTCTTCTTATTCTTCTTATTATTCGTATTATTCTTATCATTCTTATTATTCTTCTTATTCTTCTTATTATTCTTCTTATTCTTATTATTCTCATTATTCTCATTATCCTTATTATTCTAAATATTCTTATTATTCTAATTATTCTTATTATTCTCATTATTCTTATTATTCTTATTATTCTTATCATTCTTCTTATTCTGATTTTTCTTATTATTCTTAGTATTCTTATCATTCTTCTTATTCTTATTTTTCTTATTATTCCTATTATTCCTATTATTCTTCTTATTCTTATTTTTCTCATTTTTCTTATTATTCTTTTTATTCTGATGATTCTGATTATTCTGATTATTTCTGATTATTCTGATTATTCTGATTATTCTGATTATTCTGATTATTCTGATTATTCTGATTATTCTGATTATTCTGATTATTCTGATTATTCTGATTATTCTTGTTATTCTTATTATTCTTATTATTCTTATTATTCTTATTATTCTTATTATTCTTATTATTCTGATTATTCTTATTATTCTTATTATTCTTATTATTCTTATTATTCTTATTTTTCTTTCATGATTCTCATGATTCTTATGATTCTTATTATTCTTATTGTTCTTATTATTCTTTTTATTCTTATTATTCTTATTATTCTTATTATTCTCATTATTCTTCTTCTTCTTATTATTCTTATTATGCTGACACTAGCTCTCGTCGGCCTTGCCCCCCCAAGTGTGGCGCAGGTTGGAGGTCGTGGACCACCTTGTGGGAGCCGGTTCCAGTGGACACACGAAGCTGCGGTGTATACGGCGACCAGGAGTTTGCCCAGACACTATCCTACATCTCCAATTGCAGCCTAAACGTCGAGAACGCATCGGGCTGCGAAGCAAATGGCGGCTGCAAGTGGGAGCCCATGTTCGAGACAGGAGTGTGTCTGCCGGATAAACCCGGCTTGAACACAGCTGTGAACATCACAGTACCTTTGTAAGCCAATGGAAGAGCTTTTCAACTTTCCGGGCTTTCCTTTTTGTCCGAACGAAAGCGGTTGAGCTTTTTGTTTCTTGGCTGGGGAACGGAGTTATACTACATGCGAGTGGAAGGCCTTGTTCGAGTCCGGTGTGTGCTTTCAGGTCCCGGTCTACAGCACCATCGAAGTCACAATGCCGCTCACTGTGGACGATGCGGCTGCGATCCTCAACAATGCTACCGTGCAGGATGCCATGAAGCAAGGCTTCGCAACGGCGATGGACGTGCCCGTGGAGGATGTGACACTGGAGATTCGGCAAGTTCGGCGGCTGAGTGCTCACACGAGGAAGCTTCAGACTCAGCTGCTGGCCATCTTCTCAGTGGCCCTGCCCGGCATCGAGGACGCCATCGCGAAGCAGGTGGAGATCGAGGCCGTTTCCTTGGAAGCCACCAACCAGGCCATTGCCAGTGCGATCGCGAGCGTGGGCTTCTCTGGTGCCGTGGAGGTTACCGGCAAGACGTCCGCGAGAGTTGCGGTTTCGACCACGACGCCGACCACGACATCGACCACGACGGTTTCAAATGTCTCAACCACCGAAACCGATGTCTCAACCACCGAAACCGACGAGACGCCGCCCGGTGAGGAGCTCAGCAAAGGTGGACTGGCCGTTGCTTCGCTGATGATCGTGACGGTCTGTTCATTGTTGGCAATTGGATGACCTTGGTATCCCTGGCCAATGTGCCAGAAGACCAGAATGTCATAGATTTTTCGAGGCTTTCGATTGGGTTGTTGCCTGTCAGGGAACTCAGCCTAAAGCTACGATGAGAATTAGGGATGTATGGTAGCTTAAACAGGTAGTGGCAATGACCCCCCCAGTCAAGGCCCTTCCTTTTCGAAGAATTTCAACTTGTCCAAGTGTGGATCGCAGAAATTACTGCGGAAACCCCTTTTGTGCTGCTTCGTAATCCAGCTTTTGGGAAAAATTGTGAGCTACATGCAGTAGCGTCACGAGCATCAGACATCGAACACAGAATTAGAGCACACGATCCACTCGCAGGGTACTCGATCACAACTTATGTGCACAGTCACATCCGGAAACCTTTTGATAGCTTCATATTGCTTCGGCCAACGCGGCGAACTAACCCATTATATCTGCTAGACGTGTATATTGTATCTGACGTTTCTGTGAATATTTTGACGTGTATATCTGGAGTGCCCGCCCGGACGGGAAAAGAAATCCCCCAGAACGATGCAACGAACGATGGGCCAGGGGAGGAGGATAAAAGAATGATAGGCAGACGATAGGCCTGTGGAAGAGGATAAAAAGATGATAAGGCAGACGATAAAAAAAGATAAACAAACAGAAAATGATTAAACAATGATAAAATGCCGAGGACTCCTGCAAATTCCTGGATATCCAGGATTTCCACGCAGCTCCCGACCAGACCCCGACCACGCAGTTACGGTCTCCCAAGACTCATCATTTTTTTACCTCTCCCACATGCTGCTGGGCGGATCTAGCATTGCTTCTATCTTCGGGCGCTGGGCCTGGCAACCATCCCGACCCGATCCCGATCTTTCCTGCTCCGAGGTTCCCCCCCCCCCCCCCCCCCCCCCCATTCCCGACCCTCAACGCCGCCAGGCCCCAGACCTGAGCCCTCAGGCATCAGCTCGGGCTTTCTGCGTTACATTCGGACATATAAGTGACGCCTGAAGTGGTGGCCTGCATAGCTGGGTAAGGCGACTTTGGGCCCACAATGCGGCCATCATGCAATGATAACCAATAGGTACAAAGAATGATAGTTGCAATGATGATGAGCATACGAGCGCAGGGAAGACGACAAAGGTAATGAGAAAATGATACATAAATTATAAAATAATAGATTTCAACATGCACAGTCTGTCCATGCAAGATTGTCATAAGGCTAGTACACAAGCGATCTACGCTTTTGGCTTGCGAAAATCTCGGTTCCTGATTTCTGCCAGCAGCCATCGATTCAAACGTGTCAAACCCTTTCGAGCGAAGTTCTGGATACCCCTTTCCAAAGCTCAAGTTGGCCATAGGGAGCTTGCGGAATCCCAGTGTGTACTTGTTCTCGGCAACAAATGCCAAGAGACTCAGCGTGGCAGATCACAGTCGCTGTGCTTGCGTGCGGCCATCGAACAAGCCCACATTTTTGCAACAGGACTCGCCATGCAATGCCAAGGTCAAACTTGAAACCTGCTGCAGATTTTCCTAGGACTGTCGCCGAATGACAGGTTCAAGTCGGTTCAAGCTTTCCTTGTTGTACGTACATGGGACCAAGCAAGCAGCACCACAAGCGAGCACAAGCAGGAGGCGACGACAGCAAGCAGCAGGAGTCATCGCAGACTGGAACACCCTGCTAGGGTTGGTTGTCGCTACCTCATTGACTCATCCGGCACTGGTCTCAGAGTTTTCTCTCGAAGAGCGTCCTTGCTTCCAGGGTCCTCGTACCTTCCTAGGCCTTGCCCCAGGTCCGTGCTGTGTCCTGGCCCCAGGTCGACCCCGCTGTTTGCTTATCCACCCTGTCTGCTTCAGCGTCGTCGTCAAGGCCTGCGGTTCTCTCGGATGCCTTTTCTCCTCTTCCTGACCGTCCTGACCCCCTAGCCCCAGTGCAGGGCTGCTTGTTGCAGTGCTGGCTGTGCTGGCCCTTTGGCAGGCCAGTTGATCTTTGCCCGAGCCTCGATCCGGGGATGTGTCGGTCTAGCCCCAAGGTGAATGTCAAGTCATCTTTGCCTTGCTTTGCCCCCGCCCCAGGCCCCCGCCCCAGGCCCCCGCAGAGCGCGGTGTTCGTGCTGCCTGCCGTTCAGGGTACCCGCTTCTCTTGATCCGTCGTGGCCTGTACTGTCGCAAGTGAGCTTAGGTGCTGCAACTGTGCCTGCACCTCGCAGCCCTTCTTCCGCACCCAGGTGCTGCGCATGCCCGGGGCTTTGATGCGTAAGAGAGCTTCTGCGAGGGCTTGGGAGGGCCATGGAGGGCATGGAGGGCTATGGAGGGCCTCAGAGGGCCTCAGAGAGCATCGAGAGCGTGGAACTATGTGGAGCATTGCGGAGCATTGTGGAGCTCTGGCAGGGCGCGTCCGCAGGGTACGTGACATGGCGGTGGGCAGTTGCAGTTTTTACAGCTTAGATTGAATTGGGCTCCAGGGCCTGGGCCTATAGCTTCAACTACCAAAACCATCAAAGCTGAGTTAACATGAACCTACAAGACTCTGGCTATGGTCGCCAACGGTACCGGTAACTTTCTGTTTTCTTTTCGAAACGTACTTTCTCCGCCTCCCGTCTGGGCCGAGGCTCGGAGGAGGGTGGACGTGGCTGCGGCCTGCAGAAGACGCAGCTGCGCCGAAGCATGACATCGAAGCATGACATCGAGGCTCGCCAGCCGGAGCCTGTCGAGCTTATTCCACGACGTTCCTCTGATTTCCTCTGTGTATCTCAGTGGCATCTGTGGGATCGTACAGGTTTGTTTAGCCTCCTTTCAGATTGAGTTCATTATTTCAGGCCAAGCAACCCTTTCCTATGGCGAGGGGTACACAGCCGGTTTCGCGCCGGCCCTGTCATGAAATCCAGCCTTGTGGCTACAATTCCTCAGGAGCCCTTAGGAATGGACAGAATCACAAACAAGAACGCCCGCCAGCAATACATGCCAGGCTAAGCGTGCAGAGCTGCTGTTGACCGTAACGCTCCCGACTGTCATCGCACTTGTGATGAGCCGCAGGCCATCGTTTTTCTTTTCTCAGCAGCAGTGATTTGTTCTGCCCTCCTTAAAGATCTGCGCCGGGCGCTCGGGGCGTCTGAGGAACCATGAGGAACTAAAGCTATAGCTGGGTTACACTCCGTGTCCGCTGTTATCGGCAGGCTCCTCCTCCACAACTTCGGCGATCGCTCCTTGCCAGAAGAAATGTCTTGCAATTTGGAGCACTTCTCATTATAGGAGGTCCAAAACGTACAGGTCTCACGTCATTGGGGGAGTCAAGGGCTTCTTGCGTTGGGCCCGAGCTGTGGCTGCATACAGTATTCGGGCGTGTTTGAGGTGCCTGTGGCATCACAGAGCGGACTGGCACGACCGGGACACCCATCGAGGTGCGGGACCGTCTGCGGAAGGGTTGGGACGACGAATCTTCACTCAACTACTTCCATTTCTGTAAGTTGGAGTTGGGGACGGGGATAGGCCTCAGGAAGCTGCTTTAATTTGGGGTGCAGTGTTTGCGGTTAATAGCGGACTCAGAAACTACTCCGGATTCAGTAAGTACGGTTCAGCAACTGCTTGGACGGATTCAGAAACTGGTCGGACGGATGGATCGGTTCAGAAACCATTTGCACAGGTTCAGAACTTGTTGGGCCGGATACCAGAAGCCCCGTGGATTCAGAAACTGCGGTTCAGAAACTACTTGCACGGATTCGGAAACTACTCCGTCGGATTCAGAATCCTTTTCTCTCAAGCCTCTCCAAGCCCTTTGGGGGGGGGGGGGTGTGGGAACGCCCGGAACAGGCCTCTCCAAGTTCCTCCAGCCTTCCACAATTGCCCCTCCAACCTTAGGCCTTGCCAACCTGCCCTCAACCTTCCAGGGTCTAAACGAAGCGGGGGCGTTGGGGGCTTTCTTTCTTTCTATCTTTCTTTGTTTCTTTCTTTCTTTCTCTCTCTCTCTCTCTTTCCTTCTTTCTTTCTTCCTTTCTTTCTTTCTTTCTTTCTTTCTTTGTTTTCTCTCTTTTATTCATTTTTTCTTTATTTCTTTCTTTTTCTTACTTTATTGCGTGTTTCTCTTTCTGCTTATACGAATTACGAATAATTAATTATTTTTGATAGTTATTTAATATTTGTGATAGTTATTTAGCTTTTTTTTGATAGCTCTCCCCTGCCAGTACGGCCGCAGGACCGGCCAGCGTACCCCTTCAGCCCCCCCCCCCCTCAGCCTTCGTTCCTCTTCGGGCCCCTCCAGCTCTCTCCAGCCTTCCACCCCCCCACACCCCCCCACACCCCCCACAACACCCCCCCCCCCCTCCCTCCCCAACAACACCCCCCCCCCCCCCACCACACCCCCCCACCAACCCCCCCCACCACACCCCCCCACCACACCCCCCCACCACACCCCGCCCACACCCCCCCACACCCGCCAAAATCCCACCCCTACCCCCTTCCACAGGCCCCCTCTTCAAGAAACAGACATGGAAATTTAAAACTATGGGGGGTTAGGGCACTCTTCGCTGGATACGAGGGAAATTTCTAGCTAGCATTGAACGAAAGCAAGGTTGTTTGCTTCAGGAGCATTACAAAAGCCAAGAGCATTACGAAGACAGCATCACCAGACTCCCAAACTCCAAATCTCAAGCCCCTCTGCTTCGAGGCTGAAAAGGGAGGACCTAAGGACCTCTGGAGGCCCTGAGTGCCGTGCAAAGCGTGCTTCAAAGCCTAAGAATCTTGCTGAAACCCATCATGCGAGCATTGTGTTTGCAAATGGGGGGGGGGGGCTGCGCCCCCAAAGCATACGAATGTTGTTGAAACGCATCGTGTGAGCATTTGTGTTGCAAATGGGGAGGCTGCGCGGTGCAAAGCGTGCTTCAAAGCCTATGAATTTTGTTGAAACTCATCGTCTGAGCATTGGTTGCAAATGGGGGGGGGGGGGCTGCGCCCCCCCCCAACCTCCCCAACCCCCCGCTTCTTTTAAGCCGTGCAAGGCGTGCTTCAAAGCCTAAGAA